CACCATTTCACAGAGCCGTAGGCTAAGATCATCGTCACGTATAATGGCACTATGGCTTTCGCTACGTGAATCACATCGTGTGACGAAGGCATGGCGGCTAGCTTTCAATTTTTAGTGTACGTGCACAACGTCGTAATATCTCTTCCAAGGTTGTTCCCGGGCTATTTGTATGGAGTTTTTTAATGACTTGTGAATATTATCAATTGCGTCAGCATTGTTAGTTGAGTCTTTTCATAGGCTTACGGTGTTGTCGTGGTTGACAGTGTTTCATTTTTTCCGGCAAGAACAAAATAACGGGCTTTGGAAATGGGGAATCGGAGACATTCCTCTCACCAAAATACTCCTCCTATCGTATATATAAGACTCATTTTGTAGTATATATATGAGTTTTACATTTAAGACCAGAAAAGTATATTTTAACTTATATCAACGTACGTAACATTTTTAGAAGAGTTTGCCACGTGAAGAGGCTTTCTAATGGACCGATCGATTAGTATTCATACTCCATTATATGTGTTTGCTTGAGTTTTTTCATGGTAATTAACTAGCTCTCCCATGGAAAGCTAGTTAACTAATGATAGTTAATACGTTTAAGAACAAATCCTCGAAGAGCAGCGTTACTTATGGAACGCTTGAAAGACAAATTATACTGAACACGTTCTAGTCAGGGTATAAGGAGTGATTCACCGTAGACAGAAAAGCAACGAGCGACTCAAGAATTGTGTTTCCTTAATTTGTGACCACTTTTGCCACAAGTAGACAGCATGAGTATATATTCTTCTCAGCTGAATTTGATCGTTTGTTTTCTATTCCAGATTTTTAAAGAAAAAACTTTCTTCAATGCTAAGAAGCGAGAAAGAAAGAAGCGAGTGGCGATTGAATCAAGAACATATAGTGAAGGAGATCCAATGGTCTCTAGTCATAAGTGAGAAACCTAGTGCGGTAAAGAATCTGTGTTCCCAACCACCTTATTTCGGGTCCCATGGTATGTGAATACGAAGCGCAATGATCCAAATATTTTGATTTTAGTTGTATTTATGATAACGACATGAACATTAATTAATGACCAATTAAATTATAAGCATCAAAACTTTCTTAGTGCAACTAGTAAGCCATTTCTTTGAAAGAGCCGTGCACGCTTTCTTGGCTTGCGTTTATTAGTTTATATACACAAATCGTTGACCATTAATTCATGATCATGCATTTGTTTTACCAGTACTGATGATGATCCCGAAATTAATGAAGGCATAGTCTACTTGAAGTGGATGCGTTAAAATAGTTTTCAGTTATTGTCACCAAAAAAACTCGGTGTAATTAATATATTACTACTATTTTCTTCAAAAGACCCATCACCTTTGTGTCTTTAGTTTATTATTTGCCAGTAGTAATTTGTTTGCAGTTGTTGCATTGATGATCACGAAATTTGTTTTGAAGTATGATTTTACTTTGGCAATAACAAAAATAAAACTTAATTAATCAATTGATCGTCTTAATATAATTTTTGTCCCTGAAATTTGGGTTCATTTTGGTTTTGTTCCTTCAAATTTCAAATATATGGTTTCAGTTCCAAAATTTAATTTGTCTTAAAACGTTATTTTCTTGAACTGTAATGGTGTTAAAATCTATTGAAATATTATAAACTATGTTGAAATGATAATGTGAACTCTCTAATTAAAACCTAGCTGGGTCTTTGTATGGATAACATAGAAAAAAAGAAGAAGAAGCTATTTTTGACACTTACAAAGAAAAAAAAAAAGAGCTAAATAGTTAATTACATTTTGAGGAGTTTTTTTGTTGTTATTCATACAAGATCGAATTAGGTGCTATCATTTTAACTCTGTTAGTCTGTTACACTTCAACAGATTTTAACATGGTTATATTATCTCTAATTGATTTGAACACAACTTTCTTAGCGCGGATAGGCGTCTCTTTCAGGGGCATCCTGTCACTAAAGGCGAAAACAAAAGTAACAAGACTAGTCAAGCATTCGTCGTCGATCACATATGATCGTTTTCTGTTTTATCGATGATCACAAAACAAAAGCAATCCACTAAATGAGTTAAATGTTTTTTTTAAGGTACCAATTATTCCTTTTTTGAAATAATTGTCTTTCATTTTACTTTAAAATGGTTTCTTCTTTAAAATTTTTACTAAGCAAATTTCATTTTTCTCCAATTTTATCCGCTACTACCTTTTTTTTTTTGGTGGGGAGAGTGAGAACATGAAAAATATACCCCTTCGGTTCTTAATATAAGTCTTATTTAGCTAATTTGATTATATTAATAAAGTTAAGTCAATTAGTTAATTATAAAAAATATGACATGTTTTTCTTAGAACATTATAATTATTTTTAATATTCTTCTTCCATGTCCTACTTGATTATAGTTGATAGAGTATTAATATAGATAATTTAAGAAAAATTAATAAATATGATGAATATCTCTTACATTTAGAATCAATATCAACTCAATAATTAGGTCATACATTAAGTATTGGTGGAGTAGCAGTTAAAGAATTTACATGTACAGTTTACTCATAAAGAAATTATATATACAGAATTATTTTAGTTGAATGCAGTCACTATCTTTTTACAATCCAAACTACTATTCTCCCGATTTTTAATATAAAACCTATTGAACTAATTTGATCAAATTAAAAAAATTAGATAAGTTAGTTAATTATAAGAAATATGACATATTTTTCCTAAAATACCATAATCATCTTTCTTGATATCCTTATTCCCTTACTTACTTGATTATGGTTGAGGGTTCTATAGAGGTAATTTAGGAAAAATTGACAAATATAAGAAATAAGCCTTATATTTGGGACTAAAATTAACTTAACAATTAGCTCTTATATTAAAAGTATGAGGAGTACTATTCAATAGTTTATTCTTGGTGTTGGCTCGCCAATATAGTAATACTTCAATTGTTCAAGCTGAGTAGCGGAAAGAATATGCTGATCGAGCAAAATCACAAGCATATAAAGTCCAGTTTATTCTTGGTGTTGGCTCGCCAATATAGACTCGGTATCAAGTTTTTTCTTCATGTCCACAATGAGATATTCATTTGCGCATTAGCTGACATGGGGTCCACCACTTGTATTTATTTATAACATGTATATACATTTGATAAAAAAGCATAAAAACAATATTTTAAAAGTTGGAATAAATTAAATGAAACATGATGACTGCATGTATATAAGCCAGTTGGAAATTAATATAGAGTTAAACATTGTTTTCCACCCAAGAGATGAAATTAATAAAGGACGCTGGATATTTTTGCAAGCAGTACACACACACACACACACTCTAATACAAGTTGGTATAAAATTAATTAAGTGGTCGTATAGGGTTCTCATACGAGAGTTTTAACGTACGTGAAGCTACTACTATAAAACGGTCCCCAAATAATCAGATATCAAATCGCAAACCACAGAGATAAGACATTGATCCATCTCACTCCTTTACTTTGCAATACTAAATCACTGGTTCATAAGTTGTTTCAATTCTAGGATATGGAGTTAGCCTTTAATTTTCAACGCAAGGATGGTTATGGTTTTTCTGGTATTCTTTGCTTCTGATGCTATCAGCTAGTGTACGTCATTCTCCGGACAGAATCAATGACCAGAATTCATAAGTTTGACATTTTCTGATCAGTTTCACCGGTTTAATTTTTAATACAGAAATCTTAAGTTAACTAGACAGATCACATATGCATTCTTGCAACTCATATATGTTTCGTATAACTTATTAGAATTTTTTATTTAAAAAATTATGGATATTTTTATATCACACAACAGAAATTAGAGGATAGCCAGCTCCTAGAGAGGAAGAGAATTTTATCATAAATTCTATGCAAATAACACTTGAGCATGAATTTAGTCATATTTCATATATGCATGCACGTACAGGTGAAGTTCATGTGGTGGTTGTGTCAGTCGTGCCCTAAGATTGCATTCGAAATCTTAAAGAAGCAGGACCCGAAACTTTGCTTCAAGACCCCGTAGCACGGCGGCGGACATATCTCGAGGGGATACTCGTCGACGGCTCTTGTGCCGTACGGCAAGCAGTGGAAGAAGATGAGGAAAATTGTCAACAACGAACTCATTTCTCCTCTTAGACTTCAGTGGCTTCATGACAGGAGGATGGAAGAAGCCGATGAACTTGTGAGGTACTATTTCAGTTTTAAATATAAGGCTCATTTTATAATACAAATTCTAAATGCATGTAAGATCAATTTGTAGTGTAACTTGTGAGGTACTATTTCAGCTTTATTACACGCATAGGTATTCCAAACCAAATCTATTATTGGGCCCATCATCTGAGGCTGTTCCAAGATTAGGTCGGTTCCACTTCCGGATTGCTTGACCCAGGTCCGAAAACCATGTCAAACACGTCATAACATTCTTAATGTGAACTAAAAACATTATTTTGCTACTGATGAATGATCCGAGCAGCAAGAGGATGAAATAGATGTGGGTATAAGTGAATGGTTCAAGTTCAATCCCCTGATCTAACCCAAAATTGTTTCCTTTTTATTTGTCCAATTCTGATTTAGACCAAAGAAGGGGGAAATAATTTTTTTTTTTTTTTAAAAGAATGAATCCATCTGTTTCTATGTGGTATATCCACAGCAGTAAAGCTGAGAAAGTCAAGGGGAGATCAAAGGGCAGGGCTAAAGATAGCAGATGGGAAAGATTGAATGCTTGATTTGAAGCCTGAAGACCCAAGAATACCCATTTCTGGAGCAAGTTTGAAACAAGAACAGGCTAAGAAATGGAAGGCCAATGACGCCCTGTGCTAAATATAGAGGGGAGGAAAGATAGGGACGAGCTTTATATAAAGCAAAGCGCGTGTGGTTGTGCATAAGCATTCCTTAGACAACGTTGGCTGCATGAAAAGCTTATTGGGGTTTAATTGGTATTGGATTGGCAAGGTCTAGTCCTTCGCTAAGACCTTCGCCATCCTTACCTGTTATAGACCAGGCAAATCTATTACGATGGCAGAAGGTGTTAATAAGGCCACCCTTTTCTTTTTCTTGGCCATTTTCGCCGTTTCTATTCCATGCCTACAAGCCAACATTGCCGATGAGTACGACGAATATATCATTAAACGATCTGAGGAAGCCCGCAGGGCCGCTCTAGAAGCCTACGAGCCTGAACCCTATAATGTCACCTCCGAATTCAATCTCCACGTTCACTTGTACGTGTATATATTATATATACATATGTAAACACACATATACATTTTTTTTTTTTTTTGAAAGCTTCCACGTTCAATTCTTGTATGTATGTATGTTGATGCAGAGCATTGAAAGAGAGCAACAGGAGGGGGCTGAGGAGGAGTCAATACGCAGGACCATGCATGGCCACCAACCCTATTGACAGGTGCTGGCGGTGCAGGCGTGATTGGGCCACAGATCGCATGAGGTTAGCTACCTGTGTGAAGGGTTTTGGCCGGAAGACCACCGGAGGACTAGGTGGCCGGATATATGTGGTCAACGATCCCTCTGACAGCGACTTGCAGAACCCGAAGCCCGGAACTCTGCGGTACGGGGCAATCCAGGACGAGCCATTGTGGATCATCTTCGAACGCGACATGACCATCGTTCTGCAACAGGAACTCCTAGTTAACTCGCATAAGACCATCGACGGTCGTGGCGCCAACGTCCAGATCACCAAAGGTGCTAGCATTTCCTTGTTCATGGTCACCAACGTCATCATCCACAACATTCGCATCCACGACGTGGTACCCAAGCCAGGTGGTCTCATTAGGGACTCCGTTCAGCACGTCGGCATGAGAACCCGGAGCGATGGAGACGCCATCTCCATCTTCGGCTCCTCCAACATCTGGATCGATCACATTTCAATGTCCAAAGCCGCCGATGGGCTCGTCGACGTCATCCAAGGCTCCACCGGCGTCACCATCTCCAATTGCCACATGACTAATCACAACGACGTAACAAATATTAACAAATATCCGCACATATACGCACGATTCATATGCTACACTAGAGAAAATTAGATAACATACATGGGTGTCTGGTTGCAGGTGATGCTGTTAGGAGCAAGCGATGTGTACTCAGGGGACAAGATAATGCAGGTGACGGTGGCGTTCAACCATTTCGGGCAGGGACTGATACAGAGGATGCCCAGGGCGAGATGGGGATTCGTGCACGTAGTGAACAACGACTATACTCACTGGATCATGTACGCCATAGGTGGAAGCTCCGGGCCGACGATACTGAGTCAGGGAAACCGATTCATTGCTCCGAACGACCACGCGGCGAAGGAGGTGACGCACAGAGAGTACGCGACGCAACAGCAATGGAGCTCGTGGAGGTGGACGTCGGAAATGGACTTGTTAGTGAACGGAGCGACGTTTCTGCAGTCGGGAGGGCAGATAGTGACTCAGTCATACGGAAAAGACGCAATGATCAAACCCAGAGATGGAGCTTTTGTGACAAGGCTGACCAGGTTTAGTGGTGCTCTGGGCTGCCGAGTGGGAAAGCCTTGCTAGAGAATTCAAATTTACGTTTGTGATTATATTCAATCATCAATTGCTTGCTGCTGCTTAATTCTGCAGTTTTATAGAGCATATGGCCTGTACGGTGATCGATGAATTCTTTGTGGCCACCAGAGCCAGCCAGAAACGCAAATTGTTGTGGCTTCTACTCCATCTTCTTATTTTTCTTGTTCTTGTTTAATGTTTTTTTTTTTTCATTTCTTTACCCCGATTCAACATTTCAAAATAGCTAGACCCCCTATGTGCTAGCTAGTGGTAGCACTTTCTATTTTAAAAGCACTGACATTTGTGTACCGCATAACTTACTCCTTACCAAAAGTCTTTTTAATTAAGCTATATATATTTGCATATGAGGCAATTTGGGGGGGGGGGGGGAATCATTGGTTTAGTACATACATAATGCATGAAAGCACATTATAGTTTGGATTTCATGTATCAAGTTGCCGAGATTAGATTTCGATGATGCGTGCGAGTGTTATTCTTAGCTACAAATCAAGAATTAGAAGTTTTATATATAGCTTATAAAAAAACATATTTTAATATGAAATTTTTTTTAAATTCTCACTAATCATATTTAAATTATACTACTGCTATATATAATAGTACTTCATTTCCTATACCGTTACAAGATTATACATGTTTGTGCTATGCTTCAAAATGATAAGCAAGCAATAAGCCAAGTAGAAAAGAAAACGAGATGCATGAATGAGTTAACAGACATATATGTTGGCTGATGAGGAACATGCTAAGCCAATAACAGTTAATCCATCCAAAGTTGAGGCCCAAGAAAAAACCCATCCAAAGTAATTATGTTTCACACCTGAAGGGCTAACATAGAGACACAAGATCGAGAATCAAGATTGAGAGTTCCTTTAGAATTAATGGAGAATAAAACACATGCGCATGCAAAAAATTGCTGCCATGGCAAGCAGTGATAAATAGATTATTATGAAAATGTCTTTGGTATATTCTACTTCAGAAGGCTCACTCTTTCACACAAAATCATCAATATCAATATAAAATATAATAATTATGTAGAGCAAACAGTTCACAAGCTAGGAATGACACAATTCATCTAGGACTCCATCTAAGTTTCCTGAAAATTTAGCAACCAACTTTCAAAACGTTTAGACCAGAAAGATCAGGTCTTGGAGCTTGATCAGCACATAAATTTTCCTTTCTTAAACTGTCAATTGGGTTGACCTGAATGCCAAAAAGAAAAAATGACACGATAGGAAAGAGCCAAATTCCCAGCTGTTTAGTATATGGACAGGCTGAATGAATTATGTACTGTTAAATACATAGTATACATCAACGATTGGAGCTACCGTAGGGCAAGAAAATTCTACTCCATTTCAGCCAGGATTCTCATTGGCTATCAGAATATAAACCCATTTAAATATAAATAAACAAACAACATCCACTGTAGGTTTGGCGATGCATCCAATGTACGAACATCTGCACAAAAGGATATACTCATTTTTTTAAGGTTTTCTTTGTTATTTTCCGTAGAGAGAAAACAAAAAAGGGGGAAACCTGGATTTCTCTTTCCCAAAACCACCGAAACTGTTCTGCATCATTCTCGTCTGCGATCAGTCAACCATGCTTTGCTTGATTACATCATGATTTGGTTTTCATCAATATCTTAAAATCACTTGCGGAATTTCTTTCTTGGCCTCCACCCTTCTAGTCCTACTTTTTCTTTCTCCCACCGAGGATATATTACACAGAGAAACCATATTCACAAATGAACACCATTATGAGGAGACATCTGATACATTACAACTAATTAGAGAATAAAGATAAAATCCAACTCAAGCAGGCACCGTGAAGTTAACTAGGATCACGAAAACTTGTAAGTTTAATTTACAGTTATCTGATAACTGAAAGTTGGTTGCATGGAGATAAATATTGCCGCCTTAATCTTGGTATTGCTTTGGTTCCAGGAGCACCTCCCATAAGACATTGTTTATGCTACATCTTTGGTTTGTGCTACATCTTGTAAAGTATCCTTGATTTCTGCCCCCTTTTGTGGCACAATATCAAAGTTTTTTTTACATAAATAACCGTATGGGCTTACAGATAACCTATAAAGCATACTTGATTTTTATTATCATATTCTGGGTTGGCTTCAAGACTATGAGACCTCTTGTAAGTTAAGATGGCAAACGGAGTCCTTTGACATTACAACCAGCAATATGAAGCAAATCAGAATTTCAATAATAAAATTTGGGCTGGCAGATGTGACAACTTAACGCGTACTCATTTGTCACCGAAATTATCGAGCCTCTTGTTTCTAACTCCAATCAAACCTATAAGAATACGAACAAAAACATAATAAAGCCAACAGAAGTGCACATCCTATAAGAACACATACCTTAGGCGCATTTCTCTCTGCCCCAGTCAAGCAATACAGAAGGAGAAAGTTTCGGAGAGAAAACTACAGGAGATGGAGAAGACGGTGATGATTAAAAGTGGAGAGAGCAAAAGGAGCCAACTCATGGCAGAAAATCAGTTCCCAAGAACTCATTATGTCAAGAGACGGCGAAGAGAGCCTTATGCAACTGCACTTAATGATGCTCCAAGTGATCAGGTGCAACAGCAGTCGCAGCCACAGTTACAGGGTGATCAAAATTTAAGTACTAGCACTGTGAAAAGAAGTTCAAGATTTCGTGGTGTAAGCAGGTCATAAAAAGGTTTTGAAGTCACTTTTATAGTTCTTGCTTCTGTTTAAAGCTACTAATCTGAACTGTAAACAAACAGACATCGATGGACTGGTCGATTTGAAGCTCACCTGTGGGACAAGTTCTCTTGGAACGTAACACAGAAGAAGAAAGGGAAGCAAGGTAGAGTTCTTTCTTCCTGTTTTCGTTTTTGAAAACTAAACGGGAACTTCCCTTGCTTTTCCTCACTACTTATTTTTTCACCCTTTCTGACTTATTTCGTGTCTCCATTTCTTTACGGAACGTAAATGGGAATTGGTTATTGGGCATAACAGTTTATCTCGGTGAGTATCTTTGGCTCCAAGTCAAGGTTTGCTTGAAGGATGTGTTAGTCAATCCGAAGATGACAATATTTTTCATGTTTCACAGGGGCTTACGATGAAGAAGAATCAGCAGCAAGAGCGTACGATTTAGCTGCACTTAAGTACTGGGGAACATCAACTTTCACTAATTTTCCGGTATTAATCATCACCTATGTGGGAAATTAGTTCCGTATATTTTGATTAGAAGTACATGACTTCATCTTCTAATACTTCTTAGACAACAAACAGATATCAGATTATCAGCAAGAGATAGAGATAATGGAGACGATGACCAAAGAGGAGTACTTGGCTACTTTAAGAAGGTAGGACTTTGTTATCCACTTGATAGTCCCCACGTTGCCATTCCTTTTACTCGAGGTGCTCTCCTCGGGTTACCTCACTGTTAAAACACTTTCTGATATTTCTTTAACAGAAAGAGCAGTGGCTTCTCAAGAGGCGTCTCTAAGTACAGAGGCGTTGCAAGGTAATACACATACTCTTGATGAATAGGAGATGAACCAGCTTGAGTCATCTTCGATGAAGACGAATCACTAACACTTCAAATATGGTGCAGGCACCACCATAATGGTAGATGGGAAGCAAGGATAGGAAGAGTATTTGGAAACAAATACCTCTACCTTGGCACTTATAGTAAGTTATATTTCCGGAATCTATTATAAGATGGGAATACAAAACTACCAAAAAATCCACGAGATAGAATTGAAATGAAGGAAAAAGAATAACAATTCCTCTTCCGTTCATTAGCTTCTCCATAAATATTGTGCTAACCAAAGTTGCGCATCTTTTGCATTACAGGCTCCCAAGAGGAAGCCGCGCGCGCTTATGACATAGCAGCCATTGAGTACAGAGGGATCCATGCTGTGACAAACTTTGATTTGAGTACTTACATAAGATGGTTGAAGCCTACAAGAGAAAACATCCAAGAAGCAATACCTGAATGTCAGGTGGTACCAGAGGCTCAGGCGGAGACATCCCCACCTATCTACACTCCAAAAGAGGAGAAGAAATCCATGACCCTTCAAAGTAATTCTTTCACAGCTTACCTGAACTCCCCTTGTACGCAGGATTTACTTGAAAGCAAAACCCATTTGATCTCGAGCGATAGGGCATCTTCTCCTACTGCCCTCGGCCTTCTTTTTCGATCCTCAATATTCAGAGAACTAGTCAAAAAGAACCCAAACATATCTGGACATGAAAGTGATGGAGAAGACACAAGATCAAGGGATTTACAGCAGCTGACGGGTGATGGCGAGTTAGGTGGGATCTTCTATGATGTAATTGGCAATGATGACCTGTTTGTCTGCGATACCAGCAAGTACAGCTCAGGATTGCAAGAAAGAAACTTCCAGGCCCTTCTATGAACAGAGAAGGTAGGTTTCTGGAGAATAATGCCATGCCTCGGTGTGGATTCGAGTACCAAACAATCCACAACATTACGGATGAAAAATTGTGGATCAATATTTGTGAATAACGAAACTAAAAACCTCCTCTATATATGTAGAGAGATAAGTTGCTCTCAGTTTTGGAGACGTACAGTTTCACAATGTAGTGAAATTCAACGCTCCTTTGCACCGGGTTATGTAAATGGAAGCCTAGTTACGATTTTGTTTACCGAGAAACTGCCAGCTGCTCATCCAAAGTGTGAATGTTCTCAAAATTTTGGAAAAGGTTATCGTTCTTAAAAAAGTAATACTGTGCTAATTTACAGATCATTGTTCATTTGGACAGAAAATATTCTCACAAAATGAAAATGTGTAACAGTATGAATCCTTCACCTAAGATATTTAATGATGCGTCCTTCACAAAAGTTCCATGTTCACCCGGCAACTCCAAATAATTGAACAGCGGGGATGCGCTAGCATGAGATGCAGCATGCAAGAAGGAAATCTATTAATCACAAGTAATTCAGCAGCTCAGCGGCTAAAAGCTGGAGTAACAACCTTTTTTTTAAAAAAAAAATCAAAATTACCACATGATTCATCTGGATCACTCATCAATCTTTCACTCGCAGAACAGAATCCAGTCACTTAGAATTCAGCTCAAGTAACAAGCTGTAAGGTGTAAATATGTGATGAAGAATTCAGTTAATATCAATAACAAGCATGGTACTTCAGGTTACCGTCCACTATACTAATAGAATTTATTGAAATCTCTTGCATGCCAAACTTTTCCTTACTTGAAACATAAATAGGATACCAAATTCCTTCGTGATTTGTACAACAATTTTGAACTATAAAATACTCAAAACTAAGTATATCACCTTTCAATCTTCAAACTGCTTATGACGCTAGTATTCATCAGGAAAGTTATCAACAAGCATCAAAACAAGCCAATCACGGGAAAAGAAAAAAAGGGGCAAAATGGCTGGTTGAACTGCAGTTAATTTGTTAAGAAATCTAAATACTACGCTTCTATGCCCATCAGCATACCTCTTGTACAATGATACATGTGCAATGTTTTCTTGAAATCATACAAACTTTCTCCCTTCTTAACAACATCAAAATTGCTTCCTTTTATTTCTAAAAAGTCTATCCCTTTTAACATAAACATAAGAGAGAGCAAGGAAAGCCCCTACAGAAAATGAGACTGATGTCCAAGGAAATGGAGGATCCTTAAAGCACACAAGGGATGCCTCTATTTCTTGGGAGGCATGATAGACGATAGAGTGGATGGCATACAGATCATGATCAGACAACCTTAAGTAAAATAAAGCCCTCTCATAATCCATATGTGATAATGCAGAAATCACTTTGTCCAGCTTGTACTTGAAAAGATTCCATCTTTGGATGAACTCAACATGCTGCTTTTGCTTGAGTAGATTTCTGTCTCCACCATGTGTTTGTATGGACTCAAGAACATCGATAGCGCTTGTTACACTGTAATTCAAGGATGTCAATAGAACATTTCTCCTTGCCGCATCTTTCTGCACAAAAGACAGGGATGAATTCTCTGAGAATGGCCCGAATGGAGTCTGCCCTATGCTCCATGTGTAATCAACCAAAGTATTATTGTGTCTTGGGCTCCATGACAAATGTGTTGGGGACACTCCCCACATGCTCTGTAGAATTGACCCAACAAGTGGCCGTTCAAGTTCCCTAGTTTGAGTGAATACATGGCGACCATTGCAGCTATAATCACTTACAGTCTGAGTATTCTTCGTCCTCACAGCAATAACCATGTCTTTGAAAGCCACAGATTGGTGATACCGATCAAGCAAGACAACTGTGTTGTAATCTAAATCAAACACGTACACAGGAATGACCCTACCAAAATCCTCCTCAGGCACCTTAGCTGCTTTCCTGAACTCCTCAGCCGACTCAGACAATATCTGGTGTAGACGCTTAGAGTCTAAATACTCGCTCACTATCAAAGTGTAGTTATCAAACAAGAACCTCGAAGTGTAGGAATTAAGAGACCTTGAAATAGCAAACGAACATATTCGGCAATCAGAATATTCAACCTCGTAAGCCTTAAAACTCAAAGACTGGTCACTTAACAAGAGGCCGTTATCATCAAACTCGTCCCTGAACGTCTTCTCAATAGATTTCCAATCCAGACCATTAATATCCTTCCCCCCAAAGCCATGCACATGTATGAACTGAACTATCAACGAATTCTCAAAAGGAACTGGAATTCTCAAAGAAGGCACAAGAAAAACCTGATATGCACTCCAAATCAATGAAGCCAAATCCGCAAGCAATGCTTTCTGCGACTTGGGTCGACCATGGAGAGCCGCCAGAGGATGAAACTCGCCTCTAGGCAAAACACCATCTCCTGAAATTGCCGGGCCGTAATCCACAGGACCTGCACCCAAATCAATCCACACGTATCTCTCTTTCCCAGTCCATATGCTCCCCAAACACTTAGTGACACCAGGAGACGAATCCCCAGACCCGTAATTATAAGCATATGGTCTCGACTGGGCGCCTAAATTGAGGAGATATATATAAACCCCCTCGACCGGTTTTTCCTTCTCGAAGTCTTGCTTGATGATCTGATCCACGGAAGCATGAGGAATAGCGAGAAGAGGGGATCTAAGGCTCGATGGGGTTTGGGCAATCTCAGATTTGATTTTATCGGAGAGAATGGAAGCTAAAGAAGAAGAGTGAGAGACAGAGAGATGGAGCTCATGCCTGAGAGAGAGACGGTGGTTCTGGTGGTCGAAGGGGGTGATGACGTGGAAGTGGTTGGAAGGCTGGGAAGCGGAGAGGAACGAGTTCAAGAGGGAAGATGAATCGGAAGGAAAATCGCCGACGAGACGGACATGGACAGAGAGAGGCACTGAGAGAGAGAGAAGGGACGAAATGAGGGAAGGGATATGAGGATGAGAATGAGAAAGAGAAAGAGATCTCTTGATAGAGGAGGGAAGAGAGTGGAAGGAGTCGTTGGAGGCTTGAGGGTCGACACGGGCTTGATGGGTAAGAAAGGAGTCAAGACCTATGATTGGGGCGGCAGTGGTGGTAGCAGTAAGGAAGATGAAGACGGTGGTGATGACGATGGCGATGGTCGGCATCTTCATCCCAGGGCAGCACTGAGTAGGGCTTGCTTTATGAGAAGACTGCAAAGTCAAGCGCCGGCGGTGAGACTTCGCCGCCAGCTCTTTATTGTATTGCCGATGGGTCGCTGAAGGAAGGTTTAATTAAAATTAGCGGTATGCGCCTGCACGACCCCAGCCTATGGAATTATGGGCTATTTATTGTTGCTATTTTGCATCATTTTTTATTATTTGTTTTTTCCAATTTTCCTTGTTAGGACTATCTCGGATTTTTAATATAGAATATCATCCCTGTATTTTATCTTTCATAATTATAATTTTTTTCTAAAAAAATATAATTATTATAAATAACTAATTTAGCAAATTTTTTTAATATATTAAAATTAATTATCTATCTTTCATATTAAAGATAGGTAGTACTATTTACATTAACAAATGGTTAACTTGTTGGTAAAAAATAACTAACATTGAAAAATGGACTTTTTTACCCAAAAAAAAAAGAGGAAACTTTAATTTTGCTTTTGCAGAGAGACGCCTGGGGAAAAAATGATATTGGTTTCTTCCGGTTGACATGGAAATTTAGGCACATCTGCTAACATAAATCAGAGAATGCAAAACCTCTGCTTGCTAACACCCATTCTCTTGCTTTCGAATAAAAAATGAAGATCCTTTCGGCTTATTTGGCGCGCATCAACGCCCTATACTAACCAATGGCAGCATTGTGATACACTGACTCAAGATCCTTTTTAGCTGCTGTATCCTGTAGCAAGTAGGAGGGGGAAATTGACACGAGACAAGTGAATCCTTCTTACTCTCCTACCTGATTAATGGAATCCACAGATCCGAATGTTTTTCATCCTACCGCCTAGTGCAATGTTTTATCACCCATCTGAAATGAAGCTTCGTCTACGGATGCTCATCTCTTCGTATGTTGATTCCAACCTCGTCTATTCCCCTATGGCTGTCCATCAATGCCCGGTGCATCTTTGGCTTGTCTATTCGCCTTCTCCGATCTTGTCCCTTTTTTTTTTCCCTATGGATTGTACGTCGGTTATGTTGATTTGAGGATTTCTTAATCTCGTTTCGTTTTCTGTTGATTAGAGTTTATAAACATATTGATGCTTTTTCAATCAAGCACAATAAATATATTTTTCCCATAATGACACAAGTGTGCAGTTTCAATTATCAGACTACATAATTATACAAAAGTATATCCCAGTCCTATTATAGGACTAGTTTTGCCAATCTGAACTGATACCATCGGTCGAAGAATCCCAAAATTTGGATGTCTGGTCGTCCTCCAGTTTCGTGACAGGACTTGAGGCGTTACTGAAATCCCTAAAGCGCAGAATTCCCATTTCTTGACAGTAGCTGGCAGTGGCTATTCTACACCCATCTACGGCTAGGGCACCGCAGCCAGACCTGTTGCCATGAGCTTCTTTCTCCCCACAGCAGCAGCTCAAGGAATTTGTTTGTGCACCCGTGTCAACCTCCCAAACATTAATGGACGAATCTCGAGGGCCTCCAGCTACAATTTTGTATGAATCCATGTGCAATAATGTAATTGGCCCGGAGGGTCCGTCCAACTCTGCTACTGATTCTTCTTGGTTTCTTCTAATATCCCAAAGCATTGCTCTGCAGCATCATTTTAAGTTTTGAATGCTGAGTCCTTATTAAAATACTGACTTAAGGTAAACTTGACAGTTGACATTAGTTATACAGCTAACTCAAGAGAGCAGTCTGGCCATGCAGATTATTGATTATTTTCTCTTACCTGCCATCACCGCCAGTGCAGATTAAAGACTTTGAAGGAACAATATCAAATGAATATAGCTTTGGCTGATGTAACGCTGCAGTCATAACTTTCCGCATTGTCCTTAAATCAACAGCCGTGACAGAAGAACCAGCTGCAATATACAATAGCGATTCGTGGCATTGCATGCCAACAGGTGCACCAGGAACAGAAGTCATTCCCACACAGCAGGATGAACGAGCAGCAGATGATGTGGTTGTATCCCAAACCCTCACCTGTTACAAGTCAAGCTCCATATTGTAAAAGGATAGGAAAAACAACTTTATAAAACAGTTCAGAGGCACCAGGTTTTTAGCAAGGCTGAATGGCTGATCAAGAACAAATTAATGAAAACTTGCTGGTTTTCCAGTAATCGTAAACGTTTATAATACAAGGCTTTGCATTTAGACTAAAAGCACGGAAAAACTTCCGGTGGAAACAAATTTGAACCCATAAATCTTAACATGCATTCATTGCATTGTCAATCAATTTATATGTAGTGTTTCCATACTAGACACGCAAAGATGCTCAAGTCTGAAATGAAATCATCAACAACTATCGTCTCTGTATCTCTAAAGACTTCCATTAGGATAACTGTTCAATATGCATAAGATGAACACAAAAATGATCAATTCCTTTCAACAACAATCACCTCTATAATTGCCTGTAATGCATTTAATTTGACCATAAACGTTATCTACTCTGTAAGCAAGCTAGATTCGACCTAAAGAACGTTGTTGATAGATTAGCTGAACTCAAATCTCAAATTGAATGCTAAGTAAATAAATTGAACAGTAGCAAAGAGGAATACAAAGAGTACCTTCGAATCTCTTGAAATGCTTGCCAAAAGAGAAGTTCTGTACCTGACAGTTTGAGGGCAGGAAAGATATATCACTATAATTGAAAGAAATGATTAACATAGACATGCAGATTACAATTTAAAAGAGAAAGACATCAAGAAACTAAATTTAAGAATAGCTATCTTTATACAACAATGGCTCGTCTGCTAGAAGACAGAACATGTAAGTAGGGAAATATAAGAAACCTTGAAACATTCGGTTGAAACAACCTGACAAATATATTCATCAACAGACATAATCACATAAATAAAATGACTCTTTTTCTCATGGCATTTATCCAACTTTAAGAATCAGAATAACAGAGGTTAATCACAGTTTAGAATGCACAGATTGTCTCCCTGATCAAGACTTAGTCAGCCAAGGTTAAAAGCTCAAGGTAAGAAAATTGAATACATTCGATTTATCCTCTATGAAGGATTATCAATAAAGTATAAGCAACATTATCATAACATCTTTTGTGTGGGGGGGTGTACAGCCCCAAAAAAAAAAAAAAAATTTACTTTCATACCCGGCAACCACTAAAAAATTTACAGCCTTCTCATGTCCATAGAGTGTAGCCTTTAAAGCACGCTGGCCTCGTTTTCCACTGGAGCTAAGAGACCATAGACGCACAGTACCATCATCTCCTCCACTTGCCAATACTTTTATATTATCCTCTCCCAATAATTTATTTGATAGGGACAACACTGGACCATTGTGACCTCTAAAGCATCTTTGACAGGAACCCTAAAAGCATGAATAACCGTAGCTTTCAGGGAATGCAAACAGTATACAATGAACAATATTGCAGAAGGCAAGCAAATGAATGAACAATGAAGAGAGAGAGAGAGAGAGAGAGAGAGAGAGAGATTTCGAAGAGCTGTAAGAGTGAACCTGGGACATATAATTCCTCCCCAAAAAAAAAAAAAAAGCGACAGAAAATAATTGCCCCATCAAGGTTTCAGTTCATATAACCCATAGAACAGGACAGAATCAGTAGCGAAGTCACACAGCGTTTAGGAGAAAAATATTAAAATGGAAAAATTAGATGCAGGCTTGGAAATTCAAGTCTACAAGCACTTCCCCAAACCCTTCTCTAACCTCTACCCAAGCAACTCTCTTTTATTCATGTTTTAACTGTCTAGTAAGTAACCAACCCTCTTATGGTACAGGCTACGAACAGATTTATCTTTTTAATCTTACCTCTTTCCCGAAATGTCAATTATATACCAGCATCTACCAAGAACCAGATAAAGAAGGATGTTTACTTCTTTAATAAAATAATAAGGTTGTCATGAAAAAGATAAGTTGGCCATGAATAAGACGAGCATGGGTGCAGTAAAAATATAACGGATGAAAAATAAGAATTCATTTCAGAGGAATAGGTAAAATTGGAGTGGCAAACCTTTTCACTCCATATCCTTTATCTCAAATCTATGACAAAAAAACAATGCAAATAACGGCAGAAAACATGTTATGTCCAACAAATTAAACGTATTTTGTTACAAGTTTGAACTGTAATTTTTACTTCAAAATATAGGAAATGAGTTAATGATATCATTGGAAAGAGTAACATTCTCTTTCATCTGTTCCGTCATATTTACCAAGCACTATCAGGTGATTACAACAACCTTTTCATCTTCTCCGTTTTTCCATAGTTACAAGGGATCATGTCATAAATATGTAATTCAAGGATATTTAAGGCATCAACTACCTCTACATAGAAGATAAGGCTTCTTACAATGTTAGAGAGATATACCTTTCGCCACAGACGAATGGAGTGATCACAGCTAGAGGTAACCAAAACTTTTTGCTCCCTTTCTGTTTCACCCCGAAACAAGGACATGTCATTAAGGGAAAACAACCTGCATTTTATTATTAGATTTCAGGTGCAGGCCAATTTTTCCATGTTCAGGCAGCTATGTTTTTAGGTGGGAAAGATTTGAATTAACTGTCATATTGATACCCTGAATACAATAAATCGATTTTCAATCCAAATTTACTGCTCACTTTTGGCATCTCAAGGAAAGGGGCTGCTGATGAACACACAGGCCGTTAGGAATACTAATTTCAGTTTATCATCACTACAATAAATTCTTCTATTTCAAACTTTGTGCTGTCGTGGATATCTTTGAATGTTTCTTTAGCATCAGTGACTTTTTCTCTTCTTTCTTTTCTTTTCCTTTCCTTTTTTTTTTTGGGGGGGGGGTTATTGGAATAAAAATGAGAAATCAAATATTTAAATGACCAGATAATACATAAAAAAAATCTTACCTCATACAAGTAATTCTTGCTTTGTGATCACTTAACGTAGATGCAAAATCTTTTCCGCTTTGATATCGATCCATATTTATCATTTGTATCATAGAACCCTGTTTTTAAATTCATGTTAATAACAATGAGCAAGATGCATGTCAAGATAATTGTGGGGAAAATGTATACTCAGTTTCTAGGCCCTAACCATATAGGTCTCAAACCAGGGGTAGGAATGAAGGACGGAAACAAAAAATGAATTTAGATGAAATGATTCAATGAGAAAAAGAAAATGCAAAAATTTCACCACACAATAGGAATACCTGGGTTAAAAAGATATCATTTCCACTCAACTGCAAATGATTGAAAGGTCTAACATCAGTATAGAAGTCAGCGACAAAGGGATCAGCAAACTTAAACTGCTGAACTGCCGTACGCCTCGCCAAATACATTTCCCTCACTCCACATGAATGTAAAGAGCTAGAAGATTGCTGTTGCGGCCAATGCTCCCTACAAACTGAATCAGTTTAGAAAGAAGGAAAATGGGGGAAATAAGATGTGCAGAAAACAAACAGTAGAACGCCTAAACGGCTATAATTTGCACAAGTCTAAGTACGTTATAAACAAGAAAAACACTTGCAACTAAAATTATCAGGAAGATCAACATTTCAGTTGCTTCTTATGTGATTCCATGATAATACACTAAAATAACACAGCTGAGAAGAGATTTGCAAGATGGCGTTTCTGAAGTTATATACACACACAGGAATTCGTGCATATAAATAATTTCGTAACCAAACAAAAGGAAAATAAAGGAAGAAGAGAGAAGTAGGAACCGGAAGAAACGTTGCCAGATGGAATCGGAATAGGCAGCCCTTTTGAGATATCTACAGGTCATGGCCAAATTGCAAACATCTTGGAGGTTAAGATAGGCAGCAGCGTGAACAAGTGAGTCTACATTGAGATCAGTTATTGTTGTCGTCGTCGTCGTAGTATTCCGACTCTGATAAGAGGACGGCGACGGGACAGAATCGGCCATATTAGTGAAGCAGTTGGGACCAATCGCTAAACCCTAGAAGATGTGATCAGTGGACATGAAATAGACGGAGAAGGGGCGAAAGGCGTGATCTCTTCTGAAGCTGAAACGCACCACTGCTCCTGCTTTCCAACCGACTCTCTGTTATTTGGGGAGATGATCTCGAGAGAGTGTTTGGATAAAAACTAACATGTTTCAGAAGTACTTTTACGGATTACGAAATAAATATGTGGAGGAGGTTATTTCGTTTTGCGAAAAAGTGCTTCTGAAACCACGATTTTAGAGCACCCAAACAGAACCTTAGTCCATATCGAATTGCTTTTTAAAAACTTATTTTCAAATCGAGACATAAAATATTTAAAAATTAACATGGATAATCATTAGTACTATATACCAAAAATAATTTTTGCAAATCATAAAAGTAAAAAAATTATTGAAAAAGATAAAATTGAAATATTTAAAAATTAACATGGATAATTTAATTAGGGTGAGACATAATATTTATTTCCTTTCTAAAAAAATCCCAAATTTAAAAGAACTTATAAGGAAAAAAAGGAGTACTAAAAGACAACTTTTTCTCTTTTTTCTTCTATTTTTTTTGAACCACACATAATTTCTTATTCTCTCCTTCTTCCTCCCTTCGAAAATCCTTCAAGTTAAACAGCGTATGGGTCTTTAACTATTTCCCCTCCACCCAAAAACACATGGAAAAATTATATTTGGTTGGCAGTCATAAGGATATATAAGTATATTTTATATAAATTAAAACAAAACTCATATTATATACTTAAAATTATTTATAAGCTATTCCAGAGGGCTCCTAAAATTGTTCAAAAATTATTAGTTCTCATTTGTTCCTAATAAATTGATGAAACAGGGTGAGAAATAAATGGGATTATTTAAATATTTATAGTTAGTTTTTAAGATTTATTTGTTTTGAATAAGGATATTTAAAAGTTTTTAGATTAATTAGAATTTATTATGATTTTCTTATCACTATTTTTCAAGGTCATTATATTTTGTTTATTTTTAAATAAATATGTCCGGGGTTTTATAAATAACTCTAAGACCCTCTTCTTTGTTACCTGAATTTGCTGGCCTTTGAACTAAGAAAAAACTAATTTGATAGTGCTCATAATTTTATTCCCTATAATTTTTTTCTTATTTATTGAATCATTATTTTTTATTTTGTTAATTATGCCAGTCCTTCTGTTGATTAAATAAACTGCCAGTTTTGCTCGCCCCAGCACCTCATCCCTCAGCTTCTCTGCCCCTCGTCCTCTCAGTTTCCTTAACTCGAAGCGAACATCATTGTCCATCTCTCATTGTTCATGTTCTCCTTTGTTTGGCCGTCAATTTTCAGTGTCTTCTTCTTCAACATAAGGATCGACAAAAGGGGGGGGGGGGAGAGCAGAGGGGAATAAAACGGAAGGAGGGAAGGGGGGAATTCATTGCACCTCGTCCTATGCAGATTTCGTTTATGGAGAGGAAATAAAAGTGAGAATTGGGGGTGATGTAGGAAATAAAGGGGAATAAAAATATGCTGTTTGAGCATATTTTTTCTCTATTTCTTGGTCTCTTATTCTCCTCTCTCTCGTTGTACCTTGTTAAGAAGAAAAGAACGTCTGATTCATATTATATTTTTCTGTTTGGCCTTCATTTCTATTTCCTATTTTTTTTCATTTTGTGGAACAAGAAAGCGTTTAGCGTTCTTTCTTTGTGTTGATCGGTTAGACATTAAGAAAGTGCTTGGATATTGCAGAGAATGATTAGGTATGAAAAAAAATGAATAAAAACAAATCCTTTTAAATGAAAGAAAAATCAAATAATTCATTTTATCTAGCCAGCAAAATGTCAGTCTATCCAAATGCTACAGAGTGCAGAAGGAGGCCCTTAATTGGGTGTGCTCAGCCACAACGGCGATGAGGCGATAAGGGGGAAGCTTCCTTTGATACCCCTCTTCACTTGATTAAAAAATTTACCATTAGCACCATTCGGCCATCACAAGATGTTAATGCTCTAATGCAGCAACACTCACAAGACGGCACCGTGCTGGGCATAAATAAATCACAACCAATAGCTCAAGCACCCTGTGTCACAGGGATGCTTAGGCCTACATCCTGCCTTCTAGATTGTATTAGCTTGTTTTGTATGTCATCTCAGTATCAATTAACCCCAGACTGACCGTTGATAAATAACCAGAATTTCAGAACCTTTATTTCCAGTAACTGTTTATTGTAAATCAACATACAAATTTAGTATTCTCAAAACTCTTAACATACTTGACAATATCAAAATACAATAATGTTCCCTTCAGATAGAAAAGGATCGCTATAGAATTATACTTATTTGGTAAACAGGCTTCTCAACAGCAAGCTGCATCCCATTGGCAAGAGAGATGAAGAACATCAACAATAATTTACAGTCAATTATGCACTAAACATAAAATTTCCAATTTGGCATATTCCGGCTAAAATATGAAGACAACACTGTCATGTACTCTGGACTTTTGATTTTGAGCAACGCATTCTGAAATCCACATTAGGTTCCGAATCTCCTGCTCTCTTAACCTCATATATGCGAAAAAAACAGCATAATGGAACTGCCAAATAGACAAAACAGGGAAGTTCAGAAAAGAGTAGGATATAACCAGAGAGGTGAAATCATTCCTTCAAGACCTATAAAGATCCATTGGCTATTCCTATACTTGCTAATGCCCTAGTGAAGCCTGAAAAACCAGTACTCACATAAAAAGTAAGATACAAACCTGTTGCTCAAACGCTAAGCAAAGCCTCTTCACCTCCTCCTCATAGAATGCCTTATCAAGCATCTGGCTCTCTCCATATGACAATTTAGCAAAGATAGACTGATAAGGGGGATATTTTTCCATCACTGCGCGAACCTACACCAGCAACCAAAACTGGGATCTCAGGCCCAAAGCAGCATAATAATTAAAGCCGTCAAGTAGAAATATAAGTGTCTCCAGCCCACCATTACAGTGATCGGCAATACAAATAATAGATACAGAAAGAAGGTAAGAGTTAACCATAAAAGAAGCCTGTGAAATCAACGGCAAAAATCAAGTGCAAATTACAAATGGAAAAGAAAAAATCACATCGTAGAACAATCCACTTAAATCCACCAATGAAACTACTCAAACCATCACACAGTTGAGAAGCAAAATATACCTGGTCAATGTCTTCACAGACAGCAAGCTCCTCGTGACCATAAGGGTACCTGATTAAGTCAGCCATTGCCAAAAAATCATTCCAAAGCAACACATATGCTTCCATTTTCAATAACAAAATTAGATCAGAACTTACAACAAACCAAAATTAGAGTACAATTTCCTACGATCATCTCTGGTGAGTTCAGTACCGATGCTGCCATCAGTGAAAAGTGGAAAACATCAAGATCAGTTATAAAAATATCTAAAGTGACAAATATGCAAAAACCTAACTTCAATTACCTATTTATGGTAATATTCACAGCCCTTCTATCAGCCTCAAAAGCTAGAAGGTCAGACATGATTTCAGCTGTGGCACCACCGAGTTTCTATCCAAGTACAACATTGAAATTTATAAAACCACCAAAAAATTGGAAAAGAGGGAACACATGCATAGAAGATGGGATAAAACTCTTGGGCACTCACCTGACAAAATTTGTAAAAGTCTTCAAGATATGCCTTATAAAGAGTGTTCCTCATTATTTCAATGTTCATATCATCCAGGTCCTAGAAAGAAAGAGTGCACAAGTAACATATGAGATGTGAAGAAGGAGATTTAGAAGTACATTGTTCCCAGTTTTTCCATAGGCCCATAGCACCGAATATCTTAAGCTGAACACGCTGATTGTGGACCTAAATTCTCTGAAGAAATTTAAGAGCAATAAGAATTTTGGTAGGAAGATTAACCTCTGATGTAATGCAGTCGGAGAAGTACGGAGCAAGGGGAGTGTCCACAAGTACCAGCCTGTAAAGCTCCCGCATATTCTGAGCAACTGCTAGACTAGCAATGCTGGAGAGAACCAAAGCATAATTAAAATTATGAGTACTTACACAGTTATCCTACCAAACTAAATATTGAAATTAATATACCTGTCAAACATGCCCAGTGGATGACATTTCTCTAATAATTCTTGAACATCTCGTTCATGCAACGTGCCAGTAACAATCAAAACAACGTTGTCTATCATGTGACCATAACTGCAGGAATAAAAAAGAGAGCGTATTGGTGTCCGTTTTCCCCTTTTTTCCTGCTTTGTCCAGGTTAAAGATTTCTTAAATGGAAAGGACATGCAGCATAAAATCTATCAACCCAACCCCAGTCTGATTAGAATCAAATTTTCCGCAAAAGATCTGAGTAAGTTTCCAAAAATCGTGGCCAGGGTTCCTGAGGAATTAAGGTTTCCATGATTTCGTATCATCACACAAATCATCTTAGATTCAGAAGAATTACAATGGAGAAAAAAAAAAAAAGTGAATATAAGAGGTCGGGAAGGAAATTGAAGTTGACGTACGTGATATACTCCAAAAAGGTGGACAAGGGTTCTGTGGCTTGGCATAACATGTGCTTATAGTCATCCACCAGTTTAAGTGTACATTTCTCCACAATTGTTGTTGTGTGCAATGGAGAAGGCTCTGTAAAAGGTAAATCATCAACATAAACAAAGGTTTTAAGCTCTTGAATACTTTAATAGAATAGAAAACGCTAAGCAGAAAAATAGATAAGGTCGCAATTGATGAGAGTGTCAAAACTAGGATCAGACAGTTTAATTTCTATTCAATCACTTTATCAAATGAGCGACGTCTTATCTGCCATCCCGTACAAACGAGTACATGTTTTTCTCATCAAGATGCACCAAGCAAGAGAAACAATGTAAACAAAAGCACCCGCTAAGCTAAGGACACAAGTCTTCCCTCAACAGCAGAAAAAGGAACGGAGTCCATGGAAATTATAGTTCAAAATCTCAGATACATAAAATTATAAGTTCTCAGCGAAGTTGCGCAAAAAGCATCCATCAGCATGAATGATCTCGTGATGTCATTATTGAGGTTGCAGAAAGAACATTTACCCCATGCAGATCTCTAGAACTGATGAAGAGGATAAAAGACAGAAATTCACCATAACAAAAAGAGGGGGGGTTAGCCAAGTAAACATAAGGCGGAACGAGAATCATCAATATCTTAACTAAATAGCTATATTAACTTGAAATTAAAAAAAATGTTAAAGAAACCAACTTTCTAATTTGAAATTTAATTCACTTAGTTCCACTTTCGATTTATTTGAAGTGGAAGAAAATTAAAGAAACAAAAACTTAAAATTGCGATGGGGGGACAACAATTTAAATTCAATCCTCAAACGCACCATTCTGCAGGTAAGGACCATACTCAGTAGCAGAAAGGTGCATCTTGATATCTTCAAGGGTTTCACATTGACACAAGTTGTTGTAATCAGCGGCTGTCAGCAACCCAGCACGGTGCCCTCGCACGATAGCCTCCAGGTAACCTCCATGAATGTTGAAAGTAAGAGCTTCAAAGCCGTACATCTTCGTAAGGCGATTGCGGGACCAGCTGGGGGCAGATCTGAGTCGAATTGCAGAAATTGATCGAAGTAATCAAGCAAGGGGATCGCAAACGAGAAGGCCCTCGAGGAAGAAGACGAACACAAAAAGCGACGAAAATAAAATAAATTTCTTTTTTTATTTTTTTGCCCCCTTAATCGGATAACTTATTGGTTATTGGGCTTGACTTTGAGGCTACGACGTATCATTGGGACCCAATAAGTCAAAAGGGAAAGCCCATTGGGTCCAAAGCTCCTGTGATGATCCAACGGGAACGGATGGATAATCCATGTGAGAGATTTATAGGATGTTTAGCAATATAAAAACTATGGTTTCAGAATCACTTTTCCGCAAAACGAAGAAAACTCCTCCACATATTTACTTCGTAAACAGTAAAAGCACTTCTGAAACCATGGTTTGGTTTCTAACCAAACACCCCAATCTCATCCATGTGCATAGTCATTGCTATAATCATTGCTATAATCAAAAGAGTGGAGTTAATTTGATAATGAATCGCCGCTCCTTCTACTTTTTTTGGAAAAAAAATATGTTGCTTTCCAGATCAGATTTTTGCGTCGGATGACTTCAGATCTAAACTTCAAAATTTATATATTAGCTCGATTTTTAACATAAGAATTAGATATTAAGAAAATTAGAAAGTGTCTGGGTAGAAAAGAAACAATAATTTTGAAAATGATTGTATGAAGTAAGTATGTGAGAAGATTTTTATCTTAATTTGTATAAAAATATTTTTTAAGAATTCCAAATACTTTTTAACTAAATTAGTTATTTATAATAAATAAGCGTTGTTTTTCATAAAATATTCTTATTAAGTATGTGCATTATAATAAAAATTATGTAACATATACAATCACTATGAGAACTATTAAAAAAACATGAATAAATATAAAATAAACTAGATTAGAGTATTATACGTAAAATATAAACGAGAATATTAATCTTTTGGTCCCCATACCTTTAACTCGATTGTGAAGTCCCTCAAATTTAACTCACTGACTCAGTCCTGTTTTCAAACTGTGATGACTCAGACCTTGAAATAGCTAAAATAGGGTGAGTCCTTGAAAACCCATCCACGTGGCAGAATAAAAGTTGAGATGACATCTTAATAAGCCATATCAGATTCTCAACTGGAAAACGAGGGAGGGAGAGAGGGGGCCACGTTGAAGAGGAGGTCGTCTTCTTCCCTTGAACCAGAGCACGCCGATGCTAGTCTAAAATAAAAATTCATCACTGTTGTCTTCACCAAGCTGCAGGGGCTGAGCTACCATTCTTCTCTTCATTATCATAAAAATTAACAACAAAATCTATCTATATACTCCTCCGGTCCTTAATATAGGACCCAATTCTTAAATTGATTTTGGTCCTAAATATAAGACCTATTCCTCATATTTATCAATTTTCTCTAAATTACCCTTATGGATACTCCCTCAACCATAATCAAGTAGAAGAGGGAGAGGGAGGATTAAGAAAGATGATTATGGTGTTTTAGGAAAAATATGTCACTTTTCTTATAATTAACTAACTTACCTAATTTCCTTAATTTAATCAAATTAGTTAAATGGGTCTTATATTAAGGACCGGAGGAGTAATATTTAAACGGAGGTGCGAAACTTACCCTCAGCGTTCGTGGAATCAATCAGCCACATCATGTGTTCATTCAAGGATATGCCTCTCATATATTGCATGCATGGCTGCCCAGAGAGTTTGTATTTGGTGGAAAATTACCAACACTGAACCAAAATGCATTGGTCATAAATAAACCAAGTTACCTTCAACGAGTGTCTCTCTGGCTCTACTTCTACTCCCATTCAGCTCCAGAAGCAGTCTCGGCGTCTCCTCTCTCCTCACGTAGTCGCACCTTGGTCAGAGGAGAAGAATACACCAGAGAATGATCCTCCCTCAGTGAAGACGAGAGTGATGAATTTTTATTTCAGACCAATATCGGCATGCTCCGGTTCAAGGGAAGAAGACGACCTACTCTTCAACGCATCTCCCTCTCTCCCTCCCTCGTTTTCCAGTTGAGAATCTGATATGGCTTATTAAGATGCCATCTCAACTTTTATTCTACCACGTGGACGAGTTTTCAAGGGCCAAGTCATTATAACTTAAAAACTACGGGGACTGAGTTATAACGAGAGACTGAATCATAGCTGAGCTAAAAATATGGGGATCAAAAGATTAATTTTCTCTTAATTTTTATTTTGATCATAAATATAATATCCTAATTTATTTTATCTCTCATATTTATCTTTTTTTTTTTAAGATAGTCTTTGTAATAACAGTAATTCTATCCATTACATTTGATTAACAAAAATATTTTAAGAAAGACAACACATATTTATTATAAATAACTAATTTAACTAATTTTTTTAATTTACTCAAATTTATTAACTAGATGTAGTGGTAATATCCAAATTATTATTAATTGATGTGGCCCTTTTCAACATAAAACTAGTAGCCAGATGTTTTGCAAACTGCAGCGTAGCCCAATCATCGTACACAATGCGTAATCTGATCTGTTTCGAAAGGAATGGCTACCCCTCGTATTTGTAGTTTGTACTCTGTTTTTGTGTGTTTTCGCCCACAAAAACACAAACAGATAGACAGACGTGAAATCGTTTGGGGGTCTCCTCAACACATTTAGCTCTAGGTTCGCACTAAACATTAAAAATAAGGGCTACAAATTGAAAGTAAGATTAAGAAAATATATTAAAAAGTATTTAGTATGAGAGATTGCTTGTTATGTAGGATTAGATAAAACCATATATGTGATATTAGGAAATATTATAGGGGGAGATGGTGTTCCTCAATCCTACTTTTATGACTTTGTCTAATCCCATATAACAAGTAATTATTTATGCTAAAAAAAATTTTAATGATTTTTCTCAATTGTAATCCTAATCTTCATCTCTCATTTTTAATACTCCCTCTATTCCTTATTATAAGAGACAATTACAAGGTATATCATGTTCCTTATTATAAGAGACACTTATAGGTTGTCTCAAATTTTATATGTTGATTTTCTATTTTACCCCTATTTAATTACTCATATTACTCATATAATTGTATTTAATTTCCATTCGTTCTCTCTCCCACCCATTATCTCTCTTTCACATAAATGAGGGTATTGTTGGCAAAAATGTTACACTTTTTACATATTTATTGCACCTAACTAATTTTAACTAATTTTTTGAATAATGTGATTTAGTTAATTGTATCTTATAAAAAGGAACGGAGAGAGTACTTTGTATTAAATGGATCCTACTTAAAACCTGTCGAAAACGCATAAGCCAAATCACATGGCAGTGCAGCTCGGACACTTCTCTCTTAGTAATTACTAGTCACTGATCACGGAAAAATAAGAGATCGTCTATAATTTAATATGTAAAACCATGGTTTTGTGCGCCTAAGAGAAAATGAGGGATCACCCCCTATAAAACAATTATCACTTCTTCCCTCGATTATGGGGCATGTTACTCTCGGTTTTTGAATTATAGGGCTGGTTTTATATCCATAATTAACCCTCGCAGTTCGCAAGATCTAGCCCACAGAAATGGGGGAACGCATACAGACAACATGTAACAACAACAAAAGTTGGCAGAAACACACGTGAAAATGAAAATATCAAGTTTTGTGGGGTAGAAAATTAAATCAAGTAATCAAAAAATGAATAAATGCGAAAATGCTAGAGTTATTTTTAATTGTCATCAGCTTTTGGGTTTGGTCTGCTCCTATCCCATCGAATAATGCAACCAGATCAAGTTGGGCGGGGGCAAAGTCTTGTAATCTTGAGAGAGATAGTGGCCTTAGCCTAGCCAGACCAAGTTGTACCCAGACCAAGACCCACGAGTGAAACAAAAAATGTGCACCAAACCCTACGTACACTAAAATTATAAAATACTACGTGGACTAAAATAATACTGCTTCTCATATTTAATATAATGATTAGATAATTAATTTTAAAATATTAAAAAATTAGTTAAGTTAATTATTTGTCACAAATGTGTGATGATTTTCATAAATTCTTCTTTAATTATGTGCATTGAAACTCTTTTTGGTGAGATCCTCTTTTAATCAATAGAGATATTTTGAAAAAATAGAAAGATAAGGTGAGTTAAAAATTTATATTTAGGGCCAGATTTAACCATCAACTAGTTTTCATATTAAGGATCAAAACTATAAAAGTTATATAACTAATTTGAAAATATTAAAAAAATTAGTTAATAACTTAGTTATTTGTTGCAAATATAGGTTGGTCTTTATAAACTATGCTCTTCAATCATGTGTATCGAATGATTGAAATTGTCCCTTGATGGAAACCCCTAAAAATCGATAGAGATATTTTTAAAAAAAATAACAAAATAGATTGATGTATTATATTCAAAATGAAATTCAACATCCAAATTAGTTCTTATATATTAAGCAACGGAGTAGTACTTGCATATCACCTGCATTAAGTAACTCATATATGTGTGCGTAGTGTTGTCTGGAAGTAAAAATGATGCATGCGTACACAGTTAAATTAGTACTCCATCCGTTCCTTATTATAAGAGACATTTGATGTTTATGGCATGTTCCTATATATAAGAGACACTTAAAAGTTGTCTCTACTTTTTTGTGTTGATTTTCTATTTTACCCATATTTATTGTTTCCAACTCACACTCTCTCTTTTTTCCACTTCTCTTTCTTTTAATAAATTACCATTGTTTTCTCTCATGTTCTCTCTCCTTATTAATGAGGGCATTTTTGGGAAAAAAATATACTTTTTATATATTGATTGTTCTTAACTAATTTTAACTGTTTTTTTTTATCAACGTAATTCGGTTATTCGTTTCCTACAATAAAAAACGGAAGGAGTATAAATTAGTGTGAGATAGCAACAGGCGTTTGCGTGCCCCTTCCATGAGTTAGATTTGAGGAGTGTGTGAAAGAGAGGTGATATATCTAATAATCACTCGCATTATTAAACACGCATGATGCATCAAGTTGAGAGATAATTTTGTGATTTAATATTAGTCATTTCTCGGACTCCATGCAATATATGGGTTTATGACTGACTAATTCAAATATTGAACGCTAAAAAAAAAAAAAAAAAGCTTACCCCAACAAATTGACCCAAATGACATGCATATCCTGTATTTGTTTCACTTCTCAAGTTGGCAAGAAAGATTCTCTAGCTAGCTTATCTCAAGTAGCAAGAGAAAACGGTGTCTATTTTTGAAAAGCTGGCCAGCCAAAGCCATTCAGCTCAACTTGTCACTATATATGTTTTTTGTTTGGGCTGAAAAAGCTAACGTCACGAGTTCTCAGATTCGCCCTTCTACTACCTCAATATTATCCTGCTAGTCCTTGTTCCAATATCCTTAATTAATCTGGATTTACCCTCGCTAATTCAGCTGCGCATTTGACAATTCGCCTCTGATTTTAACTTTATTTGTCAATATGATCCTTACAAATGGACCCAAAGTGAGCTGGGGGATGTTTGGCCACTTTGAGATTTCTTTTCTCCTTTTTCTGGGTTAAAACTTAGTCTAACATTTCATAGAATTGCCAATTAATTGACATATGCCGAGTTAAATTTTTATACACACGCACAAAGAAAATGGAAAGAAAGGGTTTAACTGAATAATATACTGATGAAAGAGCAGCGTGAATATACGTGATCATTTGTGAAAAGTTAACTTCTTCAATATAATTCTCCGTTCTTGTTCCATATATATATGAGTTTAAGTTGGCTTAATGACTTCGAAAATTCAAAATCGTTATAAACATGATTTAATAATATCAATGTGAGTTAATTTACGGTTTTAAATTCTTGTTTAACTATAGCATCCCGTCCCTACTTATGTAGGGAATCGTTTGAAATTAGGGTGATATGCGCTTCGAATAAAATAGGATACCAGTACAAAAAATACAATTTTATATATATTGAAAGATTTGCAAAATAATACTGAGTTAAAAATCTTAAAAAGTCATAAAATATAATATAAATGAAAATACTTTCTGAACATAATTTTATAGTTTAATAAACTCTCATAACTACTTAAAAAAGCTATTTTACACAATATAAAATTCTTCTTACATATTTAACAGTTATAGCTCAAAAATGCTACGTTGTAAACTAATCCTTATATTTAGGTATTAAAATAAGTTAATCCAAATACGAGAAGAAATGCATTAAGTGGCATATGGTTTGAGATCACAATGATTGAAGAGCATTTGAGTCAGAGAGCATGCATCCTTGCTCGTCAACGGAGGACAATGATTAGGGGGAAATGGATGCATCCCCTTCGTTTCACTTTATAATTTCCCCATCTCTCGCAGAATAGTGGCTTTTACTTTTTCAATCTCTTCTTTTTCTTTTTTCTTTTTTTTGTGTGGGACCTTTTGCTTCTTCTATCTCAACTCTCAACGGCAGCTTTTGTTTCTTTTAGGACTTGTCTAGGCAATATAGGAAACCATACTTTTGGAAGCTAAATCATGATTTAGGTTTCAAATTTGCTAAAAAGGTGAAAAAATTAACAAACTATAATTTTGGGTTAAAACCGTGGTATTAGACTCAAAACTACAGTTTCAGAAAAAGTGAATCTATTCTACTTCTGGTTTAAATTGAAGAGTATAATTGTGCCTATTAGAGTAGATCTAAATGACAATATGACTTTAACACCTTTCAATTATTTTTTTATAAACATATTTAATCTTATATTATATAAATATATGTACACATACTAATTATTTATTAATTATATTATCTTATATATTATTAATCATGTTGGTAAAAAATATATTATTAACAATTTTATTTGTTCAAATTAAAATATATTATAAAATCTATCTTTTATATAATTATTATATTAATCTATGTTTTTTTTAGTAATTTGCACGTATAAAAAATGTGTCTGATAACAACTATCCAAAAATTTTCACTTTATCAGAATTACTTTTTCATAAAATCTATTCTTCCAAAAATCATTTCTTCAGAAGCTGTTTTCCAAACCATGGTCTGATTTTATCCAAACACCCCTTTAATGTGAGTTTGGAAATCCATTAATTATAATATATTACTAGTAATTCATTAATAAGTAAGAAAGTAGTTTCCATAGTAATATCTCCATCTATGATTGCAGTGTATGTATAGTTAGTATTATATGATTCATATTGAAACTAATATCTGCTGCGTTAAGTTAAAACTCTTTTAACAATACATTATTCGGGATTCGAATTTATATTTTCTTTCTTATAAAATGATACTGTTTACTATTTTAACTAATAGTTTGTTAGTATACTCTCTTCCATTTTATCACCTGTTTTGATATATTTTACAATCTAATTTTAATGTTAAGCATAACTGTTTTTTTAATATAAATTAGTAAAAATCCTTTTCTGTAAAAAGTTTGATGGAGCTTTTATATATAAAATAATAATAGTATATAAATATAGAGCCCTTCTTCGTCCTTTCCGTTTCGAATCATTATCATGAATCAATAATAATAGCAACAGTGAATCAGCTTTTGGGCTTATGTCTGTGGGATTTGACCGGCGGTGGTGAGAAGGATCAACCAAAGCAGTGGTCATAATTAATGAAAATTAGTATTAAACACACCGTTTCTAACTTTTTCAATTTTCTTTTAAAAATCATTTTCAAGTGCATGATGTCTGCTCCACAATGCTGATTCGTTGAACTCCTTTATTCGTTTTTGTTTTATTATGACAGGGTACGTGAAGAACGATGTACCTGATGTTCTGATATCCGGAAAATTATCGAACGTGTTAATTTTTTTTAGTGAATTTTTAATTATAAGATCTTTTATTTGTAGATATTATTTATAATTAAAATTAGAAGCAATATTAAAAAAACGTGTGTTAACATTAAATTCTTCAAATTAACCAATAAAATGTGGATTTTTTTTTCACGCTCCCCTAAGATATTCACTGATTTAACTTATAGTTTAATTTTATTACAAAAAAGTCATCCTATTTTTTTAAAATGAAAAAATTTAACACCGGGGGCAAAAAAAAATTAAAAAGATAATTAACACGCCTACTTAAATTTTCAATTTGCTTACTCTCCTACGATGTTCTCTAAGTTATCCTAAAATCTGGATGGCATCCAATTCTCTTGATAATATCTGACTTGTAAATATGAAAATTTGATTTATAAATGTTAAATCATTAAATTTTACTTGTACATTATGAAGTTAAAAAGCAAATTAAATTAAAAATAAAGAGACAAATCTTCCTTTTAAATAGGAATACAATGCTAGTATTTTTTTTGCCATGGAAATATAATACTAGTATTACATGTACTCATACCATTTTTATATTAAGAAAACTTTTCTAAATTAAAACCTATAAAATATGAGCCTTGTTTAGTTAACAAACCACTTAATGCGAGGACATGGACTACAAGAAAAATTAAAACCCAACTATTATTTTTAGTTTTAAATATAAAATTTATTTTATAAAATAAATTTATTTTAGTGTTGACAAAGGAGTACTTAGGATATGTATCTTCGTCGGGGAAAAAACAATTTAGGATACGTATCTTTAAAAACTATAGTATTAAATTTGGATCCCTGGATATAATTTTCTCAAATCATACAGAGTAACGTGGCGCATGAGCATGAAGAGGGGCAAAAAAGTAAAAAAGAGGAAAAGAGGAGTAGATGCATCTGAGGAAAATCTGCTGTTGAAACAGCCCACTGGAATTCCAGGCGCAGCCCCTGGGTTTCAGTTTTGCATAAACCATTTCCATTATCTTTCACCCAACCCTACTCCTCCTTCTATTCCTCTTTTCTCATCCGTCCTCTGTTAATCCCATTTCGCATTTCTCTCCCCACTTCAACTCTCCATAATACGCGACCTTCCAAAGAATTCGTTATCCCGTATCATCATCCACCATTTTCCTCTGTTCTCCTCTTTTTCCTTTTTTTTCGGTTTTTTTTTCTCCTGTAGATGCATCTGAGGAAAATCTGCTGTTGAAACAGCCCACTGGAATTCCAGGCGCAGCCCTGCGGTTTTCAGTTTGCATAAACCATTTCCGTTATCTTTCACCCAACCCTATCCTCCTTCTATTCCTCTTTTCTCTCATCCGTCCTCTGTTAATCCCATTTTTCGCATTTCTCCCCACTTCAACTCTCCATAACTACGCGCGACCTTCCCAGAATTCGTATCCCGTATCATCATCCCCCATTTTCCTCTGTTCTTCCTCTTTTCCTTTTTTTTTTTCGGTTTTTTTTTCTCCTCTGGTGCATTTTGTTTTTCGGGACGTTGTTTCTCGCGTTTAGGATTTCTTGGACAATACCCATTTACGGAAAACGAATTCTGTCGGGTCCCTTGGAGGCATTTCGTGATGAGCTCTGTTTTTAGTACTACACCGTGATCGTAGTGTTTTTTCTCTTATTAATAACTTGACTTTCCGGCAAGTATTTTGCCTCTGGTGGGACTGGGATCGTTCCGCCTCCTCAGGACATTGAAAAGCTTCGAGCTGTTATAGGTTTGTGGTCTAATCAATCATACTTGCCGACTTGTTGCATCCTTATACTTTACTTTTACCGTCCGGCAGTTTTCGCAACCTTGCTTGCTTCTGATATGAAATTTATTTCGAAAGGGAATGTAATTTTTCCTGCTATTTTTTTTATTTTTAATGTTGCTGTGGAGAAGATAGTGTGAGACATTGAATTTTCCCTTTTTCTCGGAATTATTAACTATCTTGTTTGTTCATGGAACTTGGTATTCCTGGAAGGTTCAGCTAAAAAGCTGAGTCATTTGTATCTCATTTCAATTTATATGGTTATTATAAATATAAATATGTGGTACTACTAATCCAATTTCGCTTTGTGCCGTTTCTGACATTCATTAAATTATTCGTGGTGGCACCTGGTGGGCTTGCGTGCTCCAATGTATCCTGATATGTTTTCGACCTTTGGGGGTGGGGACATGGTTTTGTGGGATGACATGCATGTATTAATTTATATCTATTCTGCAGGTGTTCTACCATCGAATCAAAACAAAACAGGAAAAAAACAAAGAAAGAAAGAAAGAAAGAAAAAATAATGCTTGTTGATATGTGCTTATATGTTTCCCCAACTCAAGAGCCATTACATTGCTGGTTTCAGGTTACAATGTAATGTCAGTCCGAGTTCTGATATGACGGAGAGGCCAAGCATAGGATTCAGGCAAAAAAAAAAAGAGAGAGAGAGAGAGAAAAGAAAAAAAAGAGCATAGAATACTCAGTGTGTTACATTTAGGGTTTAGTCAAATGTCATCCTGAATTTAAGCGATTTTAGCAACTTATTTATGCTTCTCTCTTCTTCTCCGTGTCTTCATCCAGGCGGGAAAATAAAAAAGCCCGTAGGGATAGTTTGGATAAATGTCATCCTGAATTTAAGCGATTTAGCAACTTATTTATGCTTCTCTCTTCTTCTCCCGTGGGTTTTCATCAATCCAGGCTTCTCTCTTCTTCTCCCGTTGGAAAATAAAAAAGCCCGTAGGGATAGTTTGGATGTGTTATATCCCAAATTGGGGATTGTTTGGTTTGATGAGCCTAAAGAGCTTGTGTTGCAAATCCCGAAAAGCCAGATAAAAAGGGTTATCTGTCAATAATGCTAAGGATTCTGCTACTAGCTGTCTTTTTTCACATTTTATTTGTTTTTCTGCCTTTCATATACTGTGCAGAGCAACTAATTGAGGCCTCCTCTGTGCAGACGCAATAAAACTAGAAGATGTCGGCTTGAAACCTGAAATGCCATATTTCCGGAGGAACGCTGCTCATAAAACCCCAAGAATCACATACCTCCATATCTATGAGTGTGAAAAATTCTCGGTATTTTTTTTGCTTGCCCAAACTGCTTGAAGGATGAATTACGCCTGAGAACCTGCTATATTGTTGATGGTGACTGTGTTTGAGCATCTCTGTGTTTATTGCAGATGGGAATATTTTGCTTGCCACCTTCGGGTGTTATTCCTCTTCATAATCATCCTGGAATGACGGTTTTCAGTAAACTTCTTTTTGGGACAATGCACATCAAATCGTACGACTGGGTGGCTGACTATCCTAGAGACACCCCCACCATTCTCAAACCAACCGAAAGTGAGTATTTTCTCTTTTTCTTTTTAATTTTGCACTATTTTAGTACTACTTGTTTATAATAGTCTAGTACAATTTCTCCTTTGGCTTTGAGGTTAAAACAATGTTGAAGGTGATTCACAATATGTATGGATAGATATAGACATATCTCCTGTTAGGTGAAGATTGTCCAGTAATAGTTATTGTCTTTCAGTTCAAAATTTGTTTCTCGTAGGTTATCCTTCTCTTCTTATAAGAGTAAGCAACAAAAGAATATAATTTGCATATTCGAATGATGCAGTCAAGAGTTCAGAGGTGCGGTTGGCTAAAGTCAAGGTTGATGCTGATTTCGCTGCTCCTTGCAACCCCTCCATCCTTTATCCTGCTGATGGAGGCAACATGCATCGCTTCACGGCTGTTACAGCTTGTGCATTTCTTGATGTTCTTGGTCCTCCTTATTCAGATCCTGATGGCAGACACTGTACCTACTACGTCAATTACCCTCTTTCTCACTTCTCAGGTAATGGTGCCCTCCAACACCTTATGTTAATGAGTGCAAAATTTTTTCACTCATAATCATAATTCTTGTGTTTAGTTATATTTCTCTTGCATACTATAAATGGAACCTTTTTGAAACTTCAGTGAATGGAAATGCCGTACCAGAAGAAGAAAGGAAAGGCTATGAATGGCTGAGAGAGAGAGAGAACCTTAAGGATATAGTTGTGGTCGGGGCAACGTACAGAGGCCCGAAGATTGCGGAGTAAGCTGATGTTACTGTCTCTGTCGCTGAGCTCATCTAGCAAAGTTGTTGGCTGGATGCTGACATTCTGTCCAGCAACTGACCTTGTCGCCTTCATCTTTGTTCTCGTACTTTTGTGGGTTTTCCTTTTCATTATTGAGCAGGTCTACAGTTAACATGTACATATCGAAACAGAGACAGAGAAAGTGATTCTGCACAGGTAGTTGAAATTGGAATGGAGGGTCATTGAGTTAGTTGTCCGGTAGAGCATCGTTTTGTTAGACGTGGCAGGTCATTTCATATTAAATATCTGATGATTCAAAGCTGAAAGCAATTGATGTATTATCGAGCAAGGTGGTATATATTTGGGCAAAACGATGACTCTATGCACTTTGAAATTTTGCATGTGATCGTCATGAAGGGGAAGCTTCCCTTCATGAAATACAGAGCTCAAAATCTATAGAAAACATACCTAATATCTAGGACATGTTTACGAATGTATTTGTCCAAGTCAAAACCATCTCTTTGGAGGAAGCATTCCTTGTTACCTATCAAAATCATGGTTTTGGCTTTGGCAAGCATGTTTTCAAAGTCATACTATTTTATAATGAGATCTTAAATGTAAGAGTTAGTTTACAATGTAAATTGCACTACAAACTTTTATATCTAGAAGAGGAGGTAGTATTAAATTTTGGTGGTTTACCAAATATGCTCAACATAAAATCATATATTTCTAGTGAATTTTAACATGAAATCCAATGTGATTGACAAATAAGCGGCGACATGCTGCGAAGCATACGTGTCAGTGGAAAGAAGTTTGATGTAAATATCTGCAATCAAATTGATCTATAAATTATTATCAAAGTCTCTTGTTACTGGTATCTTATTCTTAAAACATACTCTTATATCATAAAATCTATTGATGTGGCGAAAGGTCACACGGCTTTAATGGCTTTCACTTCTCGGTGGTGGAGGTTTGATCTTGCATGTTGTCACCTGTAATAATAACAACAACAAAAATCTAATGATATGGAGCTTTCTTTTGACGGAGTAAACTATGGCTAACAAAATTATAAAAAGGAAAGGAATTTTGTTAGGAAAAATGATATGGGATTAGATGATAAATTAACTATTTTAAGTAGTAGTGATAAAAAAATCTATAAAAAAGTTTTATCCATTCTATTCATCTGAGAAAATGTACTTTTCTTGTTTATATAGGAAGTAATTCTCTTTAAGAGCATATGTCTAAAGTTTTAAATCATTAAAGAAAACTGGCAAATTTCAGGAATTTTAGGAAGTGCGGAATTATAAATTATTTTGAAAATAACGCTATTTACGAAAAATAGAGGGACGGGTTCCGTGCTTGCATATGGTTGTGCTGGTGGTAATACTTATTATTATTGGATCGAGTTATCAGTTTTCCAACACAAACTTGGGATTACTCTTCGGCACTTGCAAACTAGTTAAGGTGGTTCCCGAATGAGGATCATCAAACTTCAAAGACGCGTTATTCCATTCCGACTTAGGACTTTGAATTCAGATCACTAATCATAGGCTGCAAACACTAATGCCATGTCATGGCTCTTCTGTTTGCAGTGGGCTTCCCTGCGCATTGAACGTTCCTTTCTTAATGACACCTTTTTTCCCTCCAGCCCCCCTCTGATAAACTTCTTAACAACACTTTAAATTTTTGTGCTCGTCCCTGGTTTAAACTCCATAAGCTTGTGCCAATGGCTGGATATTTTGTTAGGTTATTTGCAGCTCGACTGCCCAAAACTTTTAGCAATCAGTGTTACCTGACATAACGCCATAGAATACAATACATCCAAATAAATATGGGGTTGGTATTGGTGGATGGTGAGGATGGGCTTTTATGTATAGCAAATGTGGCAGAGATCCATATATGCCATCATCAATGAATCGAAGTCCACGTCAAAAATGTCAGTTGCTTTTCGGTTTTAGAGGTAGAAGAGAATAAAGCAGCTCACTGCATCGCATTGTGGCTGTGGATTTTCTTTTCTTCTCTCCTAGTTCTATGCTTTCTTATTTCTATTGTGCTGCAACTTTATAGCCTTTTCTCCTCTCTCTGATATTGTTGCTACTCTATTATTTGAAACATATGTAGCGCAGGGACTTACGAAGACGGCTTTTGTACTTACTCTCAACAGTCATGAATTGAGCACAAACCTCGGTTTGTCATGATTTTTTTCCCCCTCAAACTTCACTTCGTTATTATAACAGGTTTTTGTGAAAGGAAAGATGTGCATTAGTTTACAGTTGTTTAACCTTTCCAACCACCTACAGCTCTTTAAACTTTCGCAATAAAAATGGCGTTTAATCCAAAAAAGAAGAAGAAGAGAGTACCATGGGGTTAGTCAGAATCTTGAAGTTGCCTCCCTGTTTGCATGTAGGTGTAAATCCCAAGCTTCTGTCGAGGGAGACACAGACCATGGATGCGTTATGCTTCCCCCGTCTGTGTATTACACATATTCCAGTGAATTCAAGCCTTGGAACGCGATGCGTAGAAAATACCACAGTGGCTCCAAAAAGTAATAACTGCACAAAGAAAAACACTACTAAAGGGGCTCAAAAATGACATCATGAAAATCCAAATCAAGAACCATTTGGGCACTTTTTTTAGCAAAAATATCTGTCACTTTACTTTCAAGGTTAATGAATCCAATGGCACTACCAAACAACGTGCTTCACAGTTCATAGGTTCCATCTCCAGTGCCTCACAGTGGGCAAGCAGCCTCCATGAGCTTTTTTTCATGAGACACATTTTGATAAATACTTCCAAATATGAGAAGAAAATAACAACACACCGATCAGTTAATCCCTTTTTTTTTCCCCCTCAAACGATGTTCACGGGCTTTTATAAATCATCATTATCCCAACAAATTATAGGTTCAATACTTCAAAAGTCAAACAAATATCATATGCCCTCGGGCGGCCAAACCCCCCCCCCAAGTCTTTTGCCACAAGTTATTACCATTTTTATTTAATTATTGAGCTAAAATTTCAAGATTCTTCTTGTCTATGTTATATTCAATTTAAAAAGTATTGAAATAGCATTTGACTAAGTAAGCAATTAAAATTAAAATCAATAGACAGAGAGACAGAGTCAGAAAACCCATGGGAAAGGGCTGTATTAATTAGTAAACGCAGCCCATCTCAGTGCAGCAATAAACGGGGAACCGTTTAGTAACACCGTCAGTTACATTGAGTGCAAGTTATCTATAATAATGAACCTTCATTATGAATACGGAAAATTAAACCAACTTATTTCTCAGAGAGTTGGAGGACTTGGATTATTGTAAATACTCTATCAACCGTAAAATAGAGAACTCAAAATCATCTATTATTGAGCTGGTTAACTTGGATTTTAACATTAATTAGTCCAAATGTTATTTAAAAAAAATAAAAATTATGGATAGATCCTAAATAAGGGATTTATTTATAAATAAGTCACGTGAATTTGCTAAATATAATACTACCTCCGGTCCTAATTATAAGATCCAGTTGACTAATTTGAGGAGATTAAGGAAGTAAGTTAAGTTAGTTATTTGTAATAAATAAGTGTTGTCATTCCTAAAATATTCTTGCTAATTAAGTGTATTGGCTAAAACTATCATTATTAGAAGAACTATTTTGAAAAAAAATACATAAATATGAGAGACAAAATGGATTGGGGTCTTATAATTATGACCAAATAAAAAGTCAAATGGGGTCTTATATTAAGGACCGGAGGTAGTAATTTAGTGTTTTTCATCTGCGTAAAACATAACACTAAAAAAAAAAATCTCGCAGCTTCCCCTTTTATTTAGGAGAACAAGTCCCTTATTTGAGATTTATGTGTGCCATAAAACTCTAGTTTCTATCTATCAATTAATTTCTTAAAAAGATGTCAAAGTCAAATTTTTATCAACTCAATGATGTTGGTTTTACCCGTGCATGCATAATTAAAAGGGTTTAACACAACGGTGTTCGAATCGAAAACAGATTTTAAAAACATCAAATGGGAGTCCAGTTCAATTAGGTAGGACCACACACACATGTATATGGCAAAAATATAATAAAATAATCAAACCTATGCCGCATATGGCGTTTGGTCCCTTCACTATAATAGAGGCACATCGCCTTCAATCCACAAAGAGCAGAACCTTGCACATTTGCATTCTGCTCTATTTCCAACTTCCCCGCTTTCCCTTTCCTCATCTCTCTGCTTTTCTCTTCTCTTCACTTGAGCTGCATTCGCCGCAACCTTGTCTGCTTTTTCTTGCTTGATACATGATATTACTGCATCAGAAAATGGACAAGAGCTTTCTGGTTCTCTGTTTTCTCCTTTTGGCTGATTCTGGGTTTGTGTTTGGCTATGATAAGAAGCAAAATGTTGGAGTGTTTGAGCTCAAGAAAGGTGACATCTCCTTGAAGGTCTCCAACTGGGGTGCTTCAATAATTTCTCTTGTTCTTCCTGATAAGAATGGTACATAACTATACATATCCACATGCCTCTGGTTACTGTTTTTTTGTTATTCTTTGTATTTCTTATTTCTGGATATTTATCTAAATCTTCGATCGGTCTGTGAATAATTTGTTTGATCAGGAAAGCTGGGCGATGTCGTTCTGGGATATGATTCAATCAAAGATTACTTTGTGAGTCCTTCGTGCTCCTTTTTAACAATGTTGAGTTGAAAGTAATTAATTTCCCCAGATTTCTGATATATGATCTGCTTCTGCTTTGTTTTTTTCTCAAATTGGACTGGTTCATACAACTCTTTCTGCAGACGAATGAGAGTTAGGACAAATATGTTACGGCTAAGATTAGAGTACAATTATGCCGTTCTCTGATGTCTTGTTTTTCAAATGTTTTGACTATTAGCTATCACTCCCGACTTGCGTCCTGAGATCCGCATCTTCCCTCAATAATTCAAACTTAATCTTCTTAAATCATCAGAAAGCCAACTACTGTTTATTATTATAGTCGTGGATCCAGGTGGGATGGATGAGGATAACTTTGACGTTTTTATCACAAGTATACGTGATAAAGATAGCCTTGACGATTCGTCCTAATAAATAAACCAGAAAAGTCTCATATTAGCTTTGAACTTTGACGCTTGGAAATTGATAATTTTCCAAAGCACGTGTCTTGGAGGCTTCCCCTTTGACGTATCTATTGACGTTACTTGCTTAACTACAATTCAAGCAATTGCTGCTAATTACTTACTTTTCAGCGCCACTGGCTTGCTTTGAATTGACTAAACCAGGTTATGGGCTGATTAACTTAACTAATTTTATTTAGTCATTCTCATCAAGTGGGGCTGTATTCCCCTATGAATTGTGTGGGTAGGAACTGGGGACGTAATACCTCAAAAACACAAGGCACGCGTCCCAGGAAGGACCGCAGGGAATCATTCTTTGCAATGATGACTGTTTTGGGCTTTTTCCCCCTTCTTTCCAGTGAATCAGGGCCATGTTTCCTTGAGATTCATTGATTCTAAGTTTTTTTTTTTATAATTTTTAGTTTCTTTTTGAAATAATAAAAAAATTATAGGAAAAATGGCAAAAAAAACCTTTGAAATAAAAAAATTATAAATAAAGACCCATGACAATATTAATATGGGTTTTGACAATAAATTTTGTAAACCAGTCTCTTTGTGTAATTTTTCTATTTTGGCAGCCATTTTTTGCTATTTTTCCTTTTATATATTAGAAAGTTTAACGAAATCGAGTAACTACATCGGCAGAATGATTCAACATATTTCGGTGCCACGGTTGGTCGGGTTGCTAATAGAATTGGAGGGGCTCAGTTTACTCTCAACGGACTCCATTACAAACTGGTCGCAAATGAAGGAAACAATACACTTCATGGTACACTTTTATTATCGGATTTTAATTCCTCAACTAACTGAACACACAGTTTTCTACGTTAAAATTTTCTCACCCTGCCAATGATTAGGTGGATCCAGAGGATTCAGTGATGTTGCTTGGAAGGTGAGAAGCTACCAAAAAGAAGGTCATCATCCTCATATTGTCTTCACTTACAGAAGCTCCAATGGTGAACAAGGTAAAGCAGACGATCTTCACAGTTCAAATTTCTCTGATATAGAGTATTCATGACAATCTAATAAAATGGAATTGCCATGGTTTGTGTTTCAGGGTTTCCCGGCGACCTCGTAGCCACGGTGGGCTACCATCTAGTTGGGAAAAACGAGCTGGCTATAATCATGAAAGCAAAAGCTCTGAACAAGCCCACTCCTGTGAACTTAGCCAACCACGCGTATTGGAACCTCGGTGGCCACAACAGTGGTAATATTCTGAGCGAGGTGGTTCAGATCTTCGGATCCAAGATCACACCTGTTAATTCCCAACTCATTCCCACTGGAAAATTTCAGTCAGTCAGAGGAACCCCGTATGATTTCCTTAAACCCCGCACTGTTGGAAGTAGAATCAAGCAGCTTCCTAAAACCAAAGGCTATGACATGAACTACGTGCTTGACGGTGAATATGGCAAGAAATTGAAGCTGGCGGCAATAGTGCAGGATCACGAGTCTGGGAGGGTTATGGAGCTTTCTACGAACGCTCCTGGCTTGCAGTTCTATACTGGGAATTATGTGAAGGATGTGAAGGGAAAAGGTGGGTATGTGTATGAGCCTCATGCAGCCTTGTGTTTGGAGACTCAAGCCTTCCCTGATTCTGTGAATCATCCTAATTTCCCTTCAACAATTGTCACCCCGCAAAAGCCTTACAGACATTACATGCTCTTTAGGTTTTCCACGAAACCTCCGTACGGTTCACGGGGTTAAATTGTTTACGTACTGTACGTTGTTGTAATCTCTCAAAGCATTTGACTTGACTGTCTATGGATTTTTATCAAACTCCGCTTCGGCAGAATAAAGGGGGAAGAGAAAAGATAATAAACAGAGACTTTGTAGTTGCCTAGATTGGCAAGAAATTTGTTGATTAAGGCTTTTATTTGAAGGATAGGTTTGTGTTTTTGATTTTGTTGGCACCATAAAGTAAAAAGAGTGACAATATGAGCCTAGTTCTGGGAGTCTCTACTGCAATGGCGGAATGTATAGGATTCGCTCTGTTCAGGAGGGGAGATATGCGTAAAAACAGAGGATGGGTGGCACACCGGGCCGAAACATTTTTTAACAATAAATTCACTTATTTCCTGATAATTATTTCACTGCTCACAAGTTAAATATTTTATTAATGAACACAATATAGGATCTGGTTAAAGAGTATGAGGATGAGAATCATAGAGATTTACGTCCGTAAACTACAAATGAAGTCATATAATTACAACTGAAAGTAGTACTTCTTAAGCCATCTCTACCAAATATGATGATATATATAGTTTCAGAAAATAAAGTGTCCAGAGATATAGAAGCAAAAGGAGAAGACTATTCCATGGGATGGATTAATTAATATTAGACAAACAGAGCATTAACAAAAGAGAAGCAAAAGGCTGGCTCACACATGCACTATCCAGCCTACACATCCCGATGACAGCACTAGTGCAATCATGCAGCGATACGGCCTTCGAAACTGTTTCCCTTAATTTAGAAATGTAGGCACTTGGTCTCTGTCTCTGAGAAAATTTCATATTTTTGTCGACATGCAATTGTTCCGATATGATAAAGAACAAGCCTGCATAATTACTGCAACTGAAAAATGCATTGTTACCTATCAACTTTAGAATGCTACTGTTCGAGAGATGTAATCACGGGAAGGCGCATATGGTCCACTTCTACAGTATTGTGAATCTTTTACCCCTGAAGGATCGTTTTTATTTCAAGCCTTTTCTCTTTAATACATATGACAGATGATAGACAATCGACAAATAAACAGGACTTAATTGAAACTTTACATGCGGACATACGATAAACTAAATGATAAAGTCATTGGCAAAAACTAAGAAATTATTAATTGCTTTAGGATAATTTTGTAGCAGGAAGCTTTAAGTTTTGGTAGGTTGCGGAAATTCCAGAGCCGCCTTGAGTACAGTCTCAAAAGCACATTTGATGCAGGAACTCAGTTTGTGTTCGTCTATGAAATACTTCTCTGTCTTCAGGGCCACTCTTAGAACTCCCATGTAGCTCATAATTGATATCACAAGGCTCTGTCACCCATCAAAATTCAAGTGATGATCAGCAATGTGTCAAACATAAAACGTAATATTAGAGAATTCAATTCGAACTTCTTCTTAGATTTTTAACAAACAATTTAGTTGTCAATTTCATAATATTATTTATCAATTTCCTGTGCTAAAATTATTAATTCTAATAGAACAGTTGTCAGTAAGGTTATTCGTTTGTTAGTAACTTCATTGACAACTGTTTTATTAAAACTAACAACTTTAGCATGCAATATTAATTAACAGCCAATCTTATAGTATTTACTAGTCATTTGCATGCAAAAGAAAAAAAACGAAAACCTATCCTTTTGTCAATAACTCTACTGAAAAAATGAAGTACCTCAGGACCTCCCGCTAGTGTGAAATACAGGCCTTTCACAGGATGATTGGCCAAAGACATTGGCTGTGATGGTCCAATCAAGTTTGTAATTACCATACTTGATCTTGACAGTGTGCCATGAATGTGTCCAGCCACTGCCTGCAACAAACACCATTTCAATGAACGTGCTGTTATGTTTCTAAGAAAACTAATGTTCTTAACTTGTGATGGATCTTTTGAGCTTTATGTGTTCGGTTGTAAGTAGTAACTAGCTAGTCGTTAGCTAAGGAGACAACGCACTATTTTACTTAACCAGACGTATCTATACATCCTTCGCGTACCTCGTAGCCTTTTATTTTGCTCTCCATATTCAGAAGCATCCCAGTGAGGGGAACGACCAAAGATTGTTTCTTTCTCTTGATTATATGACGTGCTTCCCAGATAAATTCGAGCGGAGTTGAAATTCTCCCACTTTCTAACTTGGGAATTGGAACATGCAAGAAGGTAATATGATTCCCCCAAGGCCCTTTGGCCTTAGCATTAAGCATGTCATCCACCGACTGGTAGCCTTCAACATTTCTTGTATTGAAAAGTACCAACGCTGTGCAGTTTGCAGCCTTTGACTCATTATTAATTTCTTGCATATACAATCGATTCCCATAAAAGATAATTCCAGTGATTACATCGTTTATTGTCTGCATTCAAATGGAAGCAAAACAAAGATGAGGGTAGGCAAACCAACAGAATTGTGTTATGAGTTGTTGAAGAGTCAAAAACCATAAAAGAAATTTCAACAAATAAAAGAAAAAATGAGAGCTAACCACTCCAAGCCTAGACTTGATGAGTTTGATTTGGTCAAGTGAAAATTCAATGGTAGATATGGTAAGCGGGCGAGTTTCTACTCCTTTGAATCCAGATCTGATTGGCGTTTCATCATCTTCAATGACGCTACTCTTTAGTATGCCCCACCAGAAATCTACTACAGTATTGCAGGCTAACGACATGGTCGAAGAAAATTTGCCTAAGAAGCCTTTGCTGACAGATTTTGATGGTTTTGCAGAAGGGAAAGACAAAGGAAGAGAGGGATGATCGGCTCTTTGAAGACAAGAGAGAAGAGCACCCATAAGAGAGTAGCCATCCCCAAGAGCGTGGTGGAGTTTGAATATGAGAGTACTTGCTGCACTACTTGTAGGGTAATTCACAATGTGAATTTCCCACAGTGGTCTGTTTTGTGGAAGCTTCTCTATCGCTATTCTCGACAAGTAATCAGAAAAATAGTTGTTATATGATTCCTTTGACTCGCAGTCAGGGAATGAGGGGATCTTCACATGATCTTTCAAGTTTACTTGCACTTTCTTCCATTGTTTGTCCCTTCTTTTGTCTTCAACCTGCTTTGAATATTATCGCCTATTAGTTGTGTGTGTTACACTATGATGATGATGATGCAATCCATTTTAGAATACTAGGTAGAATGAACAGAAGAATAACAAGCAAGAGAAAGAGAAAGGGTGACCATGATGGAGGAAAATCGTGGGTTGATAGGAAGGAAGAGACGTTGGAGGAGAGGGATGGCTTGAGACTCGTCCAGGCGAACTTGGAACTCTAAAACGCCAATGATGTAAATGCGGAGCACAGAGCTGTTGAAGTATTGCCCCACAGGACTCACCGGTACCGCTCCTTCATCTTCTTCACGGTGCTGCTCCATCATCCTGCACTGCTTTTCGCAAAATTATGGTATGAACATACACCTGAGAGACGACGAGGTTCATATCACTCTCTCCTCTGTCTCCTTTTTATAAACTCAAAATTGCGGACGATAAAGAGTCGTTAGAAGGTCTGGTTAATTGGTTAGAAAATTGTACAGTTAGTTGGGAATACTAAGTAGAAAAAATTAATAATTTATTCAAAACATATTATATTATGAAAAATGTAGGAGAAATTAATCAAAATTAAAGGAGAAATATCAAAGGGGGAAGCAAGCAATAGAGACGTGCATGGGCAGGCATCTGCGTATGGATTTGGAAGATGCATGTGGTTTCAAGCTCATGCATATATGCGTCGTTCTTAAAATATATATATGCTCATCATCATTAGTTTTCAAATGGAATAACTGGGCTAGATAATTGGTTATGACTACCGGGAACTACACTGCAAAAATAATTAGACACTTTTTAACCTTTAGGACAAACAAACTGCAGGAACGATCGGAGCAACATTTGACTATTTGTTCGTTTGCTGTTTTTCCAAAGAACAGGTTTTTTATATCATAACACGCAAAAGGACTGAGATAGATGCTGTTGCAGGGCAATTAATTGCATTAGTGGTTGTGAAATTAGTTGCGAGTTGGCAGCCTGTGAAAGTGAATGTGATCCATCCACATGATCCTTTCTTCAACTTTTAATCCCCACCGACGACTAATCACGTTTGGATTCCGCCCCCTCTACCTGCGTACTGCCAATTATTCCTTGTTGATAAAAGTTGTGGGCGAGTTTTTATCAAAATTATGCTACATTATTGCTTATTATAAAGCGCCTCCTTAAAAAGACGTTTTAAAATTTTTTGCATAAGGTATTTGATATTTTTAAAAAGCATTAAGTATTTTTTTTCACATATCTCATATTTAGTAAGGATAACAAGATAATAGAAATTAACATGAAGTTAAAATTTGGAAAGACACTAATAAGGATAATATTAGAAATGACTTGAATTTAATTATAACAAGTTTAATATTTTTGACTTTTTTTATTGATACATACGAATTAGTTAGAAAATTACATATATATGTGTAGGATTGGAGGATGTATGACTCCAAAAAAGAGTGCATAGGAATTCTTCTTGGGTGTTATTTTTTCCCCGTACCTCCTTTAGTCGATCTCTGGTAATTAAAAGATTTTCCTTTAATTGAGTGTCTTTAATTAAGATGCGTTATTTTTTCTCATTATTTTACATTAAGGTTGTTCTTCCAAGATACTTTTAAGAGAAAATTACAAAACAAAAAACCGTAAAAATTATAAAACTCTATGTCGGAAATTCTCACAAAAATTTGTTATCATTTGTAAATTGATTCTTGTCAAAATCATTTAGTGTTATCACAATTCTTGATCTGGGATTTTACAATTTTCGTGATTTTTATTTGTAATTTTTCTTATTTTTAAGGGAAAATACCATTCCTTTAATATTTCTTTTACTAAAATTTGTTTTTAAAATAATTTTTTTTTAAATTCTTGTGAAACACCACTGTGAATTCATAATTTAGTAATAAATATTTTCAATAATTTGTGAAAAAAGTTCAAAACGAATTGTCTCCCATGATAAATTAGAAATTTAATGTAGTAACATTTTTTTTAGTTTTTTTTTTTTGCTCTTTTCATTGTCTGTCCATCTAACTTTTCTTTTCATCCAAATAGAGGATTAGTTTGCTTGGCCAGAAAAAAATAGAGGGTTAGTATCCAACGGCTAACTAAAATAAATAAATGAATTGGGGAAAAAAATATCTCTGCATGCATTATATTTATAACTGTTGAATAATTATTTTTATTCTATATGCGTCTGTGCGTCGAATTTTTTAATTCCCTATTCAAGATTTGGATAATCTGACTAATTTTTTTCATTTTATTTTATTCCTAAAATTTTAATATAGACATTATATTTTTTGAAAAGCTCCACAGTTAAAAAAATTAAAAATAAAATAAAATCAACAAAATATGATTGGGTCAAGTGAAGAAAATTTGTAATTCCTCCTAAATAAAGTCTAGGGCTCAAAGCTTGTTGGTTAAAAAAATTATATTGAGGGAGCTAGCTACCCAGTTAGAGCCAATAATATTCAAATTTAATCTAATAGTACGAGACATATCAACTAATTACATTGAAAAGTTAAAATAATTTTCGATCCAAATAATCAATGAGTAGTACTTGGAAATAAAAAATTCTTCTAAAGGCGGCTAACCAGTGAGAAACAAATCACCATGTACATGACAAGATTGATAATAAGAATACTACTGATGCTTAACCCAAGACCCAGTTAATTAATTTAAGAGATTAAAAAAATATTAATTATTTAATTATAACATATATTATATAATCTTTTTAAAATACTTATAGAGATCATTAGATTATATATTAATTTATAAACGAGCTAAATTAATTTTAAAAAAAATAAATATAAATAGTTTAAATTTTTTTAAATTAGTTTTATATGAAGAATAGTATATCACCTCACATTATTAAATATTGTCAAGATCGTCTAGTTTAATATTAAATAGTATTGAATTTGTGAAGGAATTCAAGACACGTATGGCCGTCCAATCAATGGGATCCATATGAGCGACGGATACATCTCTGCTTCTCTGATCTGTGTGGAGTTCATGTTTGTTTGCGGATTGCAGCCGCTATCAGTGCTTAATTTTGGGGGTGGCACCACATTGTTTATATTTAAAAAAATTAAGGGATGAGGATAAAATCTTGAACAAGCAAGCTGGAGATATATATACACTCTCCATTCAAAATTATATATATAGCTTTTTTTTTACTCTTTTGATGCTTAAAAAATATAGACACGTGATGGTATTCTCTAAATTTCTATAATGATCATTTAGTATGCAAAGAAGCTAGTTTCCAATCGTACTTCAACTTATGTTATGACAGTTAACGAGAGCTAATTAAGAGAGGACATTATGTTATGTGTAATTATACCTATAAAAAGTCAAAGCATGTGTTCTCACGTATATGTCTGCACAACAGACAGTCCGGGCCAGATCAGAACCTAACCAGAAGTTTAGTCTGATTTTTAGTTGGGTTGGGTTTGACTGTCTGTAGTCTGATTCAATCCAGTGGTGACTCGAGGTCGGATTGGACTCGACTTAGTCCACCAGATTGGTGGACTGATCCAGATAGTCCAGGTGCCCAATTTTTTTAAAATTTTTTTCTTTATAAGAAGTAAGATTTCAACATGATAAATACAATTAAGACAATAAAAAATACCTATAATCATATGAAACTTGTCCTAAAATATTAAGACTTCATCATTAATACATAAAAATATCTAAAAACATTAAAATGATTAAAGGTAAAATCTAAGTTACAAATTATTGAAAAATAAAAAATTCATCTAGACTGGACTGGACCAATCCTGGTGGTCTAATCACTTGGTCCAAAACTCAGTTTAGCCCGACCAACTAGTCTGGTCTAATTTCATCATATAATTTATTTAAACTGGATAGGACCACTTTGGGTTGGACTAGATTGGATCGGACTACCGGGTTTTTACACACCCCTCATATGTCTATAGGTAGTTATATGTAGCTCTTGCAAAGATAAAGAGTGTGGGAAGGATTGAAAAGTCTATTAATTGCATGATAGTGACAGTAATCCAACATCAACCACTATTAATCTAATAGGTTGGCAGAAGTTTTTATATATGCAGCTGGTGTTTCAAATGTGAGCTGTCTTTGTTCATGTTCCTGTGCTATCATTGTTAACATGTGAGAGCACTCACACTTCAATATGCTGATGATGTACTAAGTTTTCATTAGTTTAAAAATTTTCAAGCACTTAATTATATATGCATGCATGTGTGATTTATATATCTTCAGCTCATCTCAGTTTATAATAATATAATATCCAATGGAAAATCAGCACATGGAAATATAATTAAGTTGAATGCTGCGATATTACTTGGAAGGAACTTATAAATATTGTGAAATTTAATTTCCCATTGATTGAAAGCTTCGTTCTATATACACACAAACACACACATCTTAGGGATTTCATTACTGCTAAAAAAACCTAAGAATGCAGGTAAGAATGTCACAAAATCACAATGGTCAGTGAGCTTAGGCGCAAGCATGATGTTTTTTGCTGTTGTGTAATGAACGGCATACATACAGGTTGTGATCACTTTGTTTTTGTGCGGGTCGATTACTTATTTCATAGGATTCATGGGCGAGTTCTTTTTCATTCACCAAAAAATAAAATAGTTTGATTCCTTAAACCTATGAAGTGTATTTTCCGTCCGTTGATTTTAGCACCCTTAATTACATTAATGGAAAATATTGAGTCACTAAATTTAAATGGGCTTTGTAATTAAATACTCTCTCTAATATTTTTTATAAGATGATTTTAACTAAATTATGCAGTTGAAAAAAATAGTTAAAATTAGCTCAAAACAATAAATATATAAAAATTAAATCTTGTTTTCCCAAATACATTCTCATTCAATGAGGGAGAAAATAAGAGAGAGAAATACTAATAATAATATAAATTATGAAAGAGAATGTAATATGAGAAAAAGATAATGAAGGAGAATAAAAAATTACTTAAGGACGAAATTGGTAAAAATGCATTTCATATTGAAATATCCCCAAGCAAAATCTTATAAAAATGACTAAACCAATTCAAATCTTGAGAGAGTACTCACAAAGTATGCTTAAATGTTAATCCTTTAATATAATATTGTTTATTTTACATTTAAAATAATCCTGCTAAATTATTTTTTATTCTTTATATTTTTATACTTTAAAATTAAAATAGGAGTTCTTATAGGACTGATGTTTGCAGGGATGAGTTGTTAACGTGAAAACGCAAAACATTAATCCGCAAAGACGAGGGGTGTTATGTTGAAATTTTAGAACACGCGGCACTTTTTTTAGGTGTTGTTTTAAATCCTGTTCGCTTTATAAATTTTAAATTAGAAATAACTACATCAATATTTTTATTAATGAGATGAAGGGTGTTAAAATTAAAGAATCAAAAATAAAATTTATAAACTTATTAAAACATTAAACTAAAACTTTATATAAACTTAGTATCAAATCGTATATTTGAGCATTTGGGAAAAATATGTAAGGCGTGTTTTAATTACTTGTGTATATGCGAATGGTAATTTTTGTGTAGATTGATTAGCCAATCTTACTCGTTGTTCTATTGAATCTTTCCGGAAGCTCTATTAAAAGTTCATTAAAGAATGCGTGATAATGTAATAACTTTTATATTATTTTTTCAATGTTTCAATTTAAATAGGAGTAAAGTTTAAAATCTTTCTTAAACAAAACTAATGATTTAACTGCCACTTCTCAGTTTGGATGAAATTATTAAAATTGAGTACCTTTGACTCACTTTTTAACGTGAGTGTGGGGTTAACTGGTTATTCGCATTATCGGACCGTCGTAACCGGTACGTCTTTCCCCGACCACCT